CCTGGCGGATAACAGAGGTTACTCCTGGCTTTGCACTCAGGAATTACTCCGGCAGTGCTCAGGGGACGATATGGGATGCTGGGATTTGAACCCGGGTCGGCTCCATGCAAGGCAAACACTCTACCCACTGTACTACCACTCCAGCCCCATGGCTGATAATTTTTGAGCAATTTGAATGTCACTAAAACCATTCAGCACCCATTCTTTTTTCTGGGAGCGATAGTTTCTTGTGAATTTGCAATTTCAAGTAGGATGTATGTTACGGAACGCCAGGGATCAACATTTAATGTTAGTGCAGTGGTTTTCTCTCTTCTAACACATTTTTAGATTGGCCTGCTGACTTTGTGACTTTTAATTTGCTTTCTGGAATGGGGAGGACAGAAGGTAGAGTTACAATTCAGCGTGGCGCAGGAGGAATAGGAAGAGAGTAGAGGGGTCAAGGCACTTGCCTTCTGCTGGCCGACCCCAGTTCAATCCCTGGCACCGAATATGTTCCCTTGAGCATTGCCAGCAGTGACCCCCTGAGCTCAGAGCCAGGGGTAAGCCCTGAGCACAGCTGGGTGTGCCTCTCCCTCTCCCCAAGCATAGGAAATTAAAATTTATGTCTGGGGATAATTTTACCTATAGTCACACAAACATTCTTGTCATTTTGTCATATTTCCTTGACTTGAACCACCTTCAGGGAAGGCTTTGAGCATTGGTATAGGAAGTATGGACCTACTGGAATAGCTCATATCCTTGAAATTGAAGTGGTATTTTAAGTTGAAAGAATGTACGGCTTGGGGCTGGAGCAATAGTACAGCGGGTAGGGTGTTTGCCTTGCACACGGCTGACTTGGTTCAATCCCCAGCATCCCATATCGTCCCCCAAGCACCGCCAGGGGTAATTCCTGAGTGCAGAGTCAGGAGTAACCCCTGAGCATCGCTGGGTGTGGCCCAAAAAGCAAAAGCAAAAGAAAAAAAGAATGTATTAGGTTTAGTGGCTGACAGGTCCCTGAACCACTGTGCGTATTTGGATTGGACTTGAAAGGTCCTGTCTGCATTAATTGACTTGAATGGCATACGTGTGAAGCCCGCCAAGCCGGAGCCAGATCATGGGGGGATGCAAGGAAGGGCCAGGCTCCCCGGGGCTCAGCATGGACACAGAGTGAGTCAGCCGGAGCTGAACCTCCTGAGCACCTTCTCCCCTGCCCCCATCCCCCACTCCCGCTGCTCTCTGTACTGCTCAGCCGCCTCATCTACTTCCTTGTTGAGCTTCAACTTGCTTAGGTTTCACTTGATTCAGGGACTCAGATTTCTGAAAATAAACAGAAAGGGGATTGGGAGTAATAGTGGTGCTAATGGGTACCATTGTCTTGGTTTTGGTTTAAAGGGGATTTCTGCCAATGGCATGAAACCAGTTTAAGAAGTGAATGGCTGAAAGGGGCAGGGACAGAGAGGTAGTGCAATGGGTAGGGCACTTGCCTTGCATCGGTGTGGACCAGAAACCAAAAAACAAAAAAAATTGAATGGGTCTTTTGGGTTTGTTTTATTTGGGGTTGTGGAGGAGCACACTCAGTGATGTTCAAGTTTATTCCTGGCTCTCTGCTCGGGGGTCACTTCTGGTGGTACTCAGGGGATCATCTGTGGTACCAGGAATTGAACAGGGGTCAGCTGCGTGCAGGGCAGGCGGCTTATTCTCCGTATTGTCCCTCTCTCTGATTCCTGGATTGAATTGTTTCCCCAACTATTTTCATAAAGTGTTGATGTCAAGGATGGATATACCTTTCACTTCTTTTTTTGCTGAGTGTCTTATTTTCTCTATCAGCATGACATTTGATAGCTTTTCGTAATCAGACATTTCAGAGGACAACTCTTTGATCACAGGGTATTTTTCTGATTTTGTTTGATTGTTTTGTTTTGCTTTTGGACACACCTGGCAACGATCAGGGGTTACTCCTGGCTGTTCATTAAGGAATCGGCACTCCTGGCAGTGCTCAGGGAACTCTATGGGATGCTGGGGATAGAACCTGCCTTGGCTTTGTGCAAGGCAGGTGTCCTACCCTCTGTATTATCCCTCCAGGCCATTTTTAATTTTTAGCATCTTAGTCCAGTGTTCTGTGGGATGCATTCTATTGATCAATATTTAGGAATTTGCCAGTACTCATGAAAGAATTAGGTTACCACCACATGTGTGCATGCGCGCGCGTGTGTGTGTGTGTGTGTGTGTGTGTGTGTGTGTGTGTGTGTGTTGCTAGGATTCAAATCTAGGACTTCACTCCTGACAAAGCATGCTTTCTACCATGGACATGGACATATATCCCTGGCTTGGATCTGTTCCTTCTTAAATGGTTTTTCTTTCTCATCTTAGCATCAATGTTCTTTCCTTCCTTCCCCTCCCTCCCTCCCTCCCTCCCTTCCTTCCTTCCTTCCTTCCTCCCTCCCTCCCTCCTTCCCTCCCTCCCTCCCTCCCTCCCTCCCTTCCTCCCTTCCTTCCTTCTCTTCCTTCTCTTCTTCCTCCTTCCTCCTCCTCCTCTTCTTCTTTCCTTTTATCTAAGAAGATTTTATTCTTGTTTTCATTTTTTGTTTTTGGGCCATGCCCAGCAGCGCTCAGGGGCTGCTTCCAGCTTAGGGTTCACTCCTGGCATTGTTCAGGGGACCATGTGGTGCCAGGGATCCAACTAGGGATCCAATCCAGGGATCCAATCTTCACATCTCCTGATGCAGAGCATGAGTCAGCCTGTTGAGCTGTCTGTCTGGTCTTTCTAGGCTTTTTTTTTTTTCCTTACCCTGCTTTGAAAAATTTCAAATATATAAAAAAGTAGAAAAAAACAGTGTAATGAATAAGCCCCATGTATCTATCTCCTGACTCGTGGAAGGCCTGTCTTGTGTACTCCCATTCTCCTCTCTCAGCAGATTACTTACAGCAACTCCCTGGTATCTAAATATAGGGTGCTTGAAATCGAACCTGGGTTGGCCGTGTGCAAGGCTAGCACCCTGCCTGCTGTACTAGTGCTCCAGTCCCTGTGCTTTTAAATTCATTTAAAGTAATCACAAATTGGGCGGCAAGGATAGGGTGTAAGGAGGGGGCGATGGTGGAGCACATACCGGGCATGAACAAGGTTCTGAGTTGGAGTCCCAGCACCGCATGCTCTCCTACCCCAGCACCCCTGAGTGTCATCCTGGTGCTCCCCCAGAACTGCTGGGCCCCCAGCACCACAGCACCCAGCCGGAGCGCTGAGCCTCTGTGAGGCACATGGCACCGGATACTGCCGCTGGGGGGTGGGGTGGGGGACAGGTCCCCAAAGCACCATAGGGTGTGGCCCCTGTTGAGACATCCCACCTCCAGACTCGACAGATACAAGAATACTTGAACACATTCTTCTCGTTAAACAAAGTCAAAGATGAGTCTCCAGTTCCTTTGTGCACTTGAGGTGGCAGTCTTTGTGGCCTCTATTCCCACATCCCCAGAGATGGTCATGATCCAGTGCATAGGTGCTCTGGAACTTTCTCACTCATGAGGTGCCGGGAATTGAACCCATGTCCTGCACATGTGAGGTGTGTGCTTGGCCGCTGAGCTGTGTCTTTAGCCCCTTCTTTCCCCCTCCCTACACACACACATACACACACACACACACTTCCTTTCACTTGGACTGTTTTTTGTTTTGTTTTTGTTTTTTGGGTCACACCCGGCTATGCACATAAGTTACTCCTGGTTCATGCACTCAGGAATCACTCCTGGTGGTGCTCGGGTGACCATATGGGATGCTGGGAATCGAACCTGGGTCGGCTAGGTACAAGGCAAACGCCCTACCCACTGTGCTGTTGCTCCAGCCCCTCACTTGGACTTTTTTTTTTTTTTTTTTAAGTACACTTGGACTTTCTTGGGCTGGAGCGATAGCACAGCGGGTAGGGCGTTCGCCTTACAAGCGGCCAACATGGCCGACCCGAGTTCGATTCCTCCGCCCCTCTCGGAGAGCCCGGCAAGCTACCGAGAGTATCTCCCCCGCACAGCAGAGCCTGGCAAGCTCCCCGTGACGTATTCGATATGCCAAACACAGTAACAACAAAGTCTCCAATGGAGACGTTACTGGGCCCGCTCGAGCAAATCGACGATCAACGGGAGGGCCTTTACCTTTACCTTGGACTTTCTTGTAGAGTTTTTTCCAGTTTTATTTTTCCTTTTACTCCTTAATCCTTTCAGTATATGAAGCAGTGTGTCAGACATTCTATTTCTCCACCGAGTCACCCTCAAAGTTCATTAGAGTTGTTAAAGGCGCAAAGGAAAGAGCAGGACAGAGAGGCTGGCCGGGTGACCAGGGAAGGGCACCCTGAGCTGAGGCCCTTGGCCACTCACTGGTGAGGTCAGCTGAGGCAGTGCCCTTCTCCTGGCCAGTTTCTTTGGAACTCACTCTCCAGAGCCGGTGTTCGAGGACCGAGCGAGAACACATGGCAGGGCCTTTGGGTCAGCAGTGAAACACGAGACTTTGAGTTTTGCCCGTGTGGTGTCATTGTCCCAGGAGAGGACGTTCAGGAGAAGAAAGGAGTATTCAAGCATCACCTTCATTTTGCTAGAAGATGGTTCTAGAGATATACTAAGCCTGCATGGTAGTGGTGAGGAGGAGTGTTACAAATGACTGTCATTGGCTGTTTCATGAGTTAGGGGCCGTTCTCGTGTGTGGCAGGGGGGTGGGATGGCCGTCCAGAGGACTGAGCTTGCCTTCCGGGCCACCAGTATAGCTGGGAATGACTCGTGTCTGTCTGGAGAAGGCACAACCTCAGGGGAGCCAGGCTTCCTGGGGTGAAGACTCAGCCAGTACCCGGGAACTGGTTCCTCAGAGCAGTTTACCTTCTCCGCCTTGGTTTCCGCATGCCGCTTGGATCCTCTTTATACCGCTGTGAGGTTTGGGTGGTACCCAAGGGCGGCAGACAGTGTGCTGTGTGCCCTCGGGGCTCTGTTTTTCCCCCGGGCCCGTCCAACCTCCTCCTCACCACCCCACCACCACGCTGCCTCTCTTCCAGGTAGGAGGTGTGCAGTCCCTGGGGGGTACTGGTGCGCTTCGGATTGGAGCCGAGTTCCTCGCACGCTGGTACAATGGCACCAACAACAAGGACACACCCGTCTACGTGTCTTCGCCCACCTGGGGTGAGTGCCTGAGCCGGCAGCATGGAGGGAGGGACCCAGATGCCTAGGGAGTCTCGCTCCCGACTTTCACTGTCCATGTGGACGCTGTAGCCCCGGCTGGGTCATCTGACATCCGGAAGCTTACATCTCAGTGGGCCGTGAAACTCCCCAGAAGGCCCCAAATGTCCATGCAGAATTTTTTTTTTTTTGCTTTTTGGGTCATACCCGGCGATGCACAGGGATCACTCCTGGCTTTAAATTCAGGAATTACTCCTGGTGGTGCTTGGGGGATTATATGGGCTGCTGGGAATCGAACCTGGGTCAGCCACATGCAAGGCAAACGCCCTACCTGCTGTGCTATCACTCCAGCCCGAGAGATGCTATTTTTTATGTGTGTGGTTTTTGGATCACACCCCGTGATACCCTGGGGTTACTCCTGGCTCATGCACTCAGGAATTACTTCTGTTAGTGCTCAGGGGACCATATGGGATGCTGGGAATCGAACCCGGGTCAGCCACATGCAAGGCAAACACCCCACCCACTGTCCTATCACTCCACCCCCCCCATGCAGAGTTGTGCATGGCCACAGCCTTCTGCATCTCATGCCTCTTGTGCCCGCCCGAGCTGTGCCAGCCCCGGGTAGTGACGGGCATCCTCTCTCCGGCCTCCTGGGGCTGGGGGATGTGCTTCCCGACTCCCCCCTTTGCTTGCAGAGAATCACAACGCTGTATTTGCCGCTGCTGGATTTAAGGACATTCGGTCCTATCGCTACTGGGACGCAGCCAAGAGAGGACTTGACCTGAAGGGTTTGCTGAGCGACATGGAGGTAGGTGGTCAGAAGGCAGCGGAACCCCCTGTGTCCTGTGGCCTGAGGAGGGGCAGGGCAGATCCTGGATTCCTCGGGAAGTGAGTCCAGGCGTCTTTCCCTAAATGAGTTCTCCCAAGGCCAGGGAGACAGCCACGCCTGCCCCCTGTACCTATCCACCGTCCAGCTTATGGAGAACTGATGGGGTTTCCCTCTCCACAGAATGCGCCCGAGTTCTCCATCTTCGTCCTCCACGCCTGTGCCCACAACCCCACAGGGACCGACCCGACGCCCGAGCAGTGGAAGGAGATCGCCGTGGTTATGAAGGTACCTGCCCACTAGAGCTTTTCTGAGGCCCTATGTGTATCGCCAGGCAGGGTCTCTCAGACCTTCTGCAGGTGGGGAAGTGCTCAGAGGTGACCAGGACCCTGAGTGACCTGTGCTGCCGCCCCACTGACATCCAGGTCCACAGGAGCATCCTTTTTTTTTTTTTGAGTCACACCCAGGGATGCTCAGATGTTACTCCTGGTGGTGCTCAGGGGACCATATGGGATGCTGGAGATCGAACCCAGGTCGGCTGCATGCAAGGCACACTTTCTACCCACTGTTCTATCACTCCGGCCCCAGGCTAGGAGTATCTTTGCGTTGGATTTTTGTCTAGTTATACACGCGTTTATTTCAGGAAGATGGGGGGCATTTTGTCCAGACTATCTCGCAGCGTTCTCTGTGTTCTGCCTGGACGCCTCAGTGGACCACGCCTGTTTGGTCCCATGCTTCTTCATGCGAGGACCCGTGCTTTGGGGGTGGGGGGGGGGGTGATTAAATCTCCCAAAGGCCATTTAGAGCTCAGGCTTCGTGCTCTGATGAACAGTTAAGTAAGAGACTTCCGTGGCAGCATTCCTGTGGGCTGACCTACTAGCTCACCACTTTGGGCTCTCTGGGTCTCTGTTCTTCGTTGTCATATGTAAAAAGCGGTGATTGCTCTTTACAGTGTACAGAGCAGAGCTGGTCCCTGCCCTTCCGGACCCCCAAGCTCTTGTGTGTGGGGCAGGCACTTAGGTGCTGTGACCCAGATCTCTGCGGGGGCTCAGAGGGAGGTTCCCGCCCAGACTCTGAGGAGGGCGAGTGTGTGAGTGGCTGAGTGAGTCTGCAGTGGAGGTGGGATGGGGCGCTTCCTGACTCAGTCACTTTCCCCCTGTGGGGACTTGAAGGATGAGGACAGCTGGGTGGGAAGATGTTCCTGGCACAAGGAAAAGCATGGTCAGCGGTCACAGCCCATAGAAGGGAAGGGACAGTGATTCTTAGCTTGCCTGAGAGGCCCAGGGCTTTGGGCAGTGGGGAGGCCCGAGAGGCCACTGGTTAGTTAGTACCCGGAGGGCAGGCAACACACTCTGGAGTCTTTGGTGCCCCCGTGTGGCCTGACTGCATGTGCATAGGGTGGTCGTGGCATGGGTGGACCCTGAAGGAGAGGGTGTTTGGTGGCCTGAGGGGAGCAGGTGGAGGGGACCCAGGAGTGGCGGGACTCAGAGTGCAGCGTCTGAAGCCTGAGCCTCAGAGGCTGGCGGCAGGGTGGGGGTGTCAGAACGCATCGGCCTGGGTTTGGAGACATCGGAGCGGATGAGAGTCGAGGACGACGCTCTCTGCTACCTGGCGCCATCGAGGAGATCGTGCGTATCACCCTGAGCTCCAGACGAGACTTTGCAGCCTCATCTGAGCTTCCACACTGAGCATTCGTGGGGGAGGAACTGGCACTGATGCCCAGGCCTTCCCGACCTGGGCCCTGCTAGCAGCGTGGCCTGGCAGCGCTCTAGCACAATGGACTCAAAGAGGACTTGAAGGATGAGTTAATCATCAAATCCGCCGAAATCTTTAGACTTGGTTGGCTGTTGCAGAACCGAGTAGAGGAAGAGAAAAGTAGTGGGAGAGGCGGAGGGAGGAGGGGCCTGCGTGAGCGGCCCATTGGCCCGTTGGCCCGTCGGGGAAGGCAGGCTGGTGCCTGTGGTCCAGTGCCCGGAGGATCTCCTGGCCTGACTCGCTCTCCTTCCCTCGCAGCGCCGGTTTCTGTTCCCCTTCTTTGACTCGGCCTACCAGGGCTTCGCCTCCGGGGACCTGGAGAAAGATGCCTGGGCCATCCGCTATTTTGTGTCCGAAGGATTCGAGCTCTTCTGTGCCCAGTCTTTCTCCAAGAACTTTGGGCTCTACAGTGAGTGCTCTCCTGAGCCGCCGCCCGGCTCTCCCTGCCCCCACCCCACAGCAGGAACCCCACACCGACACCCCTTCTCCCTTCTCTCCAGATGAGCGCGTGGGCAACCTGACCGTGGTGGCCAAGGAGTCAGAGAGCATCCAGCGGGTGCTGTCCCAGATGGAGAAGATCGTGCGTATCACATGGTCGAACCCGCCTGCGCAGGGCGCCCGCATCGTGGCCCGCACCCTCTCCGACCCGCAGCTCTTCAAGGAGTGGTGAGCCACCCCACCTCCCCTCTCTACCGTCCCCCCCTCCCCCCACACACACCGGGCTCTGCCTTTTGTCTTGGCCAAGGCAGGAGGTGGCTCTGGCCGGTTCAGAATTCTCAGACTTTCCCAGGAACTCAGACCAGTGCCTGCTCCCTGATCCCTGGGTATGACGCAGCCCTGGGTGACAGGGAGTTTGCCCACAGGCAAACTTCCACTCCGCCCCAACTTCCCTCTCCCTGAGGCAGGAGACACAAGCAGGAACTCCTCCTAGTGGACTCTCTGCTCCAAATCCGACAATTTGGAATTCTGAGGGTGGGGGCCCTTCATTCTTCTGTTCCACGCCCCAGCTGACGTGGGAACAGTCGTTCATAGACTGTTGCTAAGCCTGCTGTCTCTGCTTTGTGGGGCCTGAGCAAATCCATCAGAGGCACTGGAGCCAGAGTAAGGAGAGCAGGGCACTCGGTTTGCACACAGCCAACCCCGCACCCCATGTCCCACCGGAAGTGATCCCTGAGGGCAGAGCCAGGAGTAAGCCCTGTGCACTGCTGGGTGGGGCCCCAGTCCCCAAAGAAAAGAACCTCAGGCAGTCTGTACAGCTCAGCCCCGGGTGGATCCCGCATTCCCACTTGGGGTGGCCAAGGCTGTGATGACCAGCCTCCATCACAAACACTGCCCCTCTGCTGCCAAGTCTCTCTCTCGGGTGGGTCTAACTCCCTGACCTCTGGCTTCCTCTCCAAGCATCCATAGGAGAGGCGTTTCTGGGTCCTGATTTCATCATGTCATGGAAAGGGCATGTCCTTGCCGGTGTGGGTGTGCACCTGACAGCTGCCCTCTTCTCCAGGACAGGAAACGTGAAGACCATGGCCGACCGGATTCTGACCATGAGGTCTGAACTCAGGGCGCAACTCGAGGCTCTGAAGACTCCAGGCACCTGGAACCACATCACGGAGCAGATCGGAATGTTCAGCTTCACTGGGCTGACCCGTAAGTAGTGGCCTCTGCATGCACAAGGCTACGCGTGACCCTGGCCGCAGTGGTCAGCCGTGACTAAGGCCCCTGAACTCTTGGGGCCTCAGAACAGTGCCAGGGGCTGTCTTCTATGTTCAGAGCTGAAGAGGGGTGTGTGTGTGTGTGTGTGTGTGTGTGTGTGTGTGTTGGGGGGGGAGGGCTGGACTGTGGCTCAGAGCCAGCCAGGAGGTACCAGGGTTTGTAGGGTGGAACCTTGAGTCTTGATGGATCTCTTAACTAGGTCTCTTGGGTATCTTCGGCTGGGCCTTAATCCTGAATATAAATATTATAGATGGTTGTCCAGAGACCTGATTTCTTTCTAGGTTTTTGGGCCACACTTCGGTACCCAGGGGACCTTGTGGTGCCAGGGGTTGAGCCCAGGGCCCCCTGTGGAGCCTGCGTGCCAGCCTTTGGGCTCTCTCCGCAGCCCTGGGACCTGATTTCTCAACCTCTCTTCCCAGGCCTTCAGGCAGTGCCTGCGGAACAAGGCGACAGATGGATCTGTTTCGTAGGAGCGAGTAGGAACTGAAATCCAGCTGAGAAGTCGCATGGGCCGCCGTGTCTGAGCATAGACGCTGGCAGGGCATAGGTCACTGGCTGCTCCTCCTGGTAGAGACAGGCTTCGCTCAATTCACTTACTCCTGAGAACCTGCTGGCCAAGCTCCCGGGCACAGGGTGCAGATGGGGTCACATCTGCCTGTCAGCCTGTGGCTCTGGGGACGGCTCTGAGCCTACCTGGGATACACGGGCAGAATAGCAGAGGCTCTGGGATGGCTCTCCCGTCTCCTGTCTGAAATGGGCTCAGAAAAAATCAAAGGAAATAGATGTAAGCAAAAGAGCTTATGGAGATGGCATATCGGATTCCCTCAAGGTACTTAGGGGGCAAGATGTAAAGGCCTTTGCTTTAAGGAAATAAAGGCCCTTTGGCAACATAGGGCCTCTACTTCCTTAGCCCTGGTAGCCCTTGGTGACCTTCTTCATGACTCTGGAATGAGGACTTTGTTTACTTGAATAATAAAACCATCATTATGTAATTGACACACACAAAAACGTGAAGTGCGAAGAAGTGGAGCTTGGAAGGACCGGTCTAGAAACTCACCAGATGGGAGGGTCTCCGTGAAATACCCTTACCCGTGGTGTCCCACCCTCTGGAGTAGGAACCAGCTTTACCGTGAACTGAGAACTGGCCTATGCTCAGAAAACAAAGTTGTATTCTTAGCACTTGGCACCATTGGTTGTTTAAAAAGCAGGATTCTTTCTTCCTTAACGTTTCCTTGGCATTGGGAAACATTTCATCAGGAAAACATTTGAACATGCTCAGGAAAGTCCAGTTCCCCACCCATTTGGTGCCTCGAGGTCTCGTGTTACGGCCTTCAGTGTAGTTTACCCACCAGAACAGGCTTCTAACCTGACACTCCATAGGTGTGTATAAGACATTCATTCAGCCCTTGGAATTATGATTTTTGTGGGGGAAGGGATCGGGCAGTGCTCAGAGCTTACTTCTGGCTCAGGGATTACTCTGAGCATTGGGGTGTGTTTGGCGGGGGAGGGGGCGTCTGTGGGGCCAGGGCTCTATGCAAGGCAGGTGCCTTAAGCCCCTTACTGTCCCTCCAGCCCTGAAATCATCATCGTAGGATGATGTTTATTCACCCTTTTGTGTGGAGAAAGAGCCCATAACTTAGTAGCTGCTCAGCTGCCACTCTCCTCTTTCTAACAGAAGTGGAGAAGTTCTACTTTTGCTCAAAATAAATCTGTAAAGCTGGGAGGGGCCTGCATTGACAAAGCCTGGCTGGCCTAGTGGAGGCATTGAAACCTGAGAGCCTCTGGCTCTGCTGGGGTGTGAGGTTAAGCTGTATCTTCGTTTGGTGGTTGGTTTCTGTTTGGGGGCCATACCCAGCAGTGCTCAGGGCTTACTGGGGACTCAGCCCTCAGAGATCACTCCTGGTGGGCTCGGGGGATCATGTGGGATGCCATGCCGGGGATTGAACCAGACCAGGCACGTGGGAGGCCAGCACCCTTCCTTCTGCACCATCTCTCCAGCTCCCTAGACTATCTTCTTGGATGACTCAGAGTAAAGTCAGGCAAGGGCACCTCAGAAGTTCCCTATGTTGGTTGGTTGGGCCTCACAGGGAATGTGATTCAGGGTCCAGATCTTCCCCTTCATATAGACGCAGCATCCTGGCCCAGAGTCCTGCCTCAGAAGATCACAGGTTGCCTTAAAATTCATGATCTAGGGGTTGAAGTGATAGTACAGCGGGGAGGGCATTTTCCTTGCACATGGCCAATCAGGGTTGGTTCAATCCTCGGCATCCCATAATGTTCCCTTAGCACCACCAGAAGTGATTCCAGAGCCAGGAGTAACCCCTGAGCATTGCCGGGTGTGGCCCAAAAAGCCAAACAACAAAAATTTTTTTTTTTCCCATGATCCAGGAGCCAAGGGATAAAACGGGTCAGGCACTTGCCTTGTATGCAGTTGACCTGGTTCAATCCCGCACCCCACTGCTCCGCCAAGCATGTCTGGCTGCAGCCCTGGAGACCCCCAGTACTACCAGGATGATGTGGATAATCCCCGGTACCCCAGGGCCTGAGCAGCACTGTATTCCTTTTTTTTAAATAGTGAAACATCATGAGGTACAGTTGTAGACTTAGAATTTTTTTTTTCCATTTTTGGGTCACACCTGGCGATGCTCTGGGGTCACTCCTGGCTCTGCACTCAGGAGTTACACATGGCGGTGCTCAGGGGACCATATGGGATGCTGGGAATCGAACCCGGGTCGACCGTGTGCAAGGCAAACGCCCTACCCGCTGTGCTATCTCTCCAGCCCCAGACTTAGAAATTTTTGTGCTTGGGTTTCAGTGATACAATGATCGAGTACCCATTCTCCCACCAGTGCCCATTCTCCAACACCACTGATCCCAGTATTCCTCCCACCCCTCCACCCCCCACCCACCCCGCCACTGTGGCAGGGCATTTCATTTTGTTCTCTCTCTCTTTTTGGGTGCTGTGGTTTGCAAGAGAGGCATTGAATGGCAGTCATGTTCAGTCTGTAGTCTACTTTCAGTATGCATCTCCCATTCTGGGAGGATCCTCCCAACATCCTTTACTTGGTGCTCCCTTTTCTATCTGAGCTGCCTTTTCCCCTAGCATGTGCTACTGGCTTCCAAGCCATGGAGTGAACCTCCTGGTACTTATCTTGGCTCTTCTTGGGTGTTAGTCTCCTATTTTGTTACTTTATGTTCCCCAGATGACAGCACTGTATTCTTTTTTTTTGGGGGGGGGGGTCATACCTGGTGATGCACAGGGGTTACTCCTGGCTCTGAACTCAGGAATTACCTCTGGCAGTGCTCAGGGGACCATATGGGATGCCGGGAATCGAACCCAGGTTGGCCGTGTGCAAGGCAAATGCCCTACCCGCTGTGTTATCGCTCCAGCCCCAGCACTGTATTCTTGACCTTGCATTGGACCCACAACACAGTTGGCCCATAATTACCAGGAGGAGCCCCCCAGGCCCCTTGAGGACCATTTGAGAGAATATCCCCTCCCTCCAGAAAAATAAACACCCCCAGATCCAGGGCCCCAGGAGTAGCAGAAGAGGCCAGAGAGCAGAGCCAAGCCACTGAGGCAGAGGGGCCTTGAAGCATGCCAGGAGTGACACCCCCGTCACCCCCCTCACCCTCCTCCAGCACCAAGCTCCGTGTATCCCCGAGCCCTGCCAGATGTCATCCACCTTCTGTACCTTAGCTGGAAGTCAAAGATGTCTGATGGCCCAAAAAGCACATGAAAAGTTCCTGAACGTCATTTAGTCATCAGGGAAATGCAAATCAGAACCCCAGCGATATGCCACTTTCTGTCCTCTAGATTGAATGACTGGATTAACAAGGATGGGGGTGGTGGTCGTGGTAATGGACAGGTAGCACCGCGGATAATGCACTTGGCCTTTCACACAACCAGCATCACGTATGTTCAACTCCCAGCATCACATATGTTCTTCCACATCTTGCCAGGAGTGATTCCCTGAGCACTGAGCTAGGAGTAAACCCTGATCACAGCTAGATGTGGGCCCAACTCCCCCCCAAGAAAAGAGACAGGGGGAGGCTAGAGGGATGGCATGGTGGGCTAAGTGCATGCTTTGCATGCAGGACACCTGGGTTTAATCCAGGCCAGGTGGCATCCCTGCAAATCCCAGACCTACTATTGACTGACTCCCCGTGTCACTGGGGATGCTCCTTTAATCAGCTTCTGCCCTATCTGTAAAAAAGGGAGTAGATGGAGGCTTGGGACATGACTCAATGATCCAGGCACATCTAGGCCACTGGCTTTGATCCCCGGGACCCACAGGGTCTCCCCACATTCTTCTGGGTCTGAATATACCTCTGAAAGTCGCCCCCTTAAAAAAAATTCTCCTGGGTCCGGAGCTAGAGTACAGGAGTACAGTGGGTTGGACATTTGCCTTATACGCGGCTGACTCGGGTTTGATCATCCCGTTTTCCCCCCCCCCCCCCCCATATGGTTCCCCAAGCCCACCAGGCATGACTCCTGAGTGTAGAACCAGGAGTGAGCCCTGAGTACGCCGGCATTCTTCTGCCAGACCCTGGAGTGTTGCTGGCTCCTTCCAAGTTCAGGTCGTCGGAGGAGCCACCTGCGATTGTGGGTGTTGGCTGTGTCTTTAAACATGGCCCCGGGACAAAAAGCTTCTCTCATCCGTTTGCGAAAAATCCAAAAAGCCCTTGGCACTGTGCTTTAAGAGGCGGTTTCTGTGCTCAGCCAGGGAAGTGGGGTCTGAGGGCGAGCTGAGAAGGGCTGGGCCGAGCAGACAGGAGCCATCTCGGAGGCTGCGGCCGGGGGCTCGACCACAAGCAGAACCAGAGAGGATGAGGGAAGGAAGTGACCAAAAACCCATTTTCTGCGCCGAGGGGCATTTCTTAAAGTGCAAGCGTTGGTTTATTTTTTTTTTTAATTTTATTTGTTTATTTTATTGATTCACTGTGAGGGACAGTAACAAAACTTTCATGTTTGAGCTTCCAATCATACAGTCATCAAACATCTATCCCTTCACCAGTGCACGTTTTCCACCACCAAAATCCCCAGTATCCACCCCCTCCCCTCCATTCCATACCTCCCCCTGCCTGTGTGGCAGACAATCTGCACAATACTCTCTTTCTCTACTTTAGTTGCCTTTGATATTTCAAGACCAGCCCCACCACCACTCATACCTGCTGTAAAGGCAATGCTAGACAATGTGTTTTGTATTGCTTGTTATGGATACAATCTAATGTCGCTCTAGGAATTCTAAAATTTTAATAATTTTAAAATTATTTAAAATCTGAAGCGATCTTTGCAGCAAGTTGCTCAGGTCCGAGATGTGTTTGTGTGTCTCTGGATCATGGCCGTGTGGGAGCTTAAGTAGATGGTGGCTGATGTGTCCCTCTGAGCTTTGCTTTAGTGGAGGGCCATGTCCTGTGAGATGTCACAGGTAAGACACATGCCCCAGATTCAGAAGGACTTCTGGGGAAACTTTTTTTTTTTAGTGAAACACCATGAGGTACAGTTGTAGACTTATAAACTTTAGTGCTTGGGTTTCAGTTATACAATGATTGAGTACCCATCCCTCCACCAGTGCCCGTTCCCCACCACCAATGATCCCAGCATTCCTCCCAACCCCTCACCCCATCCCCCCATCTCACCCCACCTCTGTGGCGGGGTATTCCCTTTTGCTCACTCTTTCTTTTAGGGTGTTATAGTTTGCAATAGAGGTGTTAAGTGTCCCTGGGAAAACTTCTTGAGCCCCGGAATCCTCCCAAGCATTTTCCCTGGGGCCTACTGTCCCCTCTGCTAGGGGACCAAGCAGCTCCATGTGTTCCGTCGCTCGGGGTGGCGGGGTCCAGCAGCCTTGGAAGCTCTGGTCAGAGAACCCCTACTGCACCAATGACCATGCTGCCTCTCTCCGTTCCCCACAGCCAAGCAGGTGGAATACCTGATCAACGAGAAGCACATCTACCTGCTGCCCAGCGGTCGCATCAACATGTGCGGCGTGACCACCAAAAACCTCAGTTACGTGGCCACCTCCATCCACGAAGCCGTCACCAAGATCCAGTGAGCAGCACCCCCGCCTCCCCCCGCCACCCCTGCAGACCACCAAAGCGGCCCTTGCTGCCCCCACCCCGCATGCTCCACACCCACTCGAGTCTAGCTGTCCATCGCGGGAGGCCGGCCGAGGCTGTGTGGGGAGGTGGCCTCGGGCTCCACGTGCAGAGAACACCTCCGGGAGGAGAAGCGGGGGGCTTGGGGTTGGAGCCCTCCTGGAGCTGGGTGCAAATCAAGATTTTTTATTTAAGAAGAATAAAGAAAGACCCTTGGATCATGCACTGTCGATATCCTGTCCCTACCCCCAACCCGCCAGAGGTTCCTGGAGTGTTGCCGGCTCCTCCTACGTCCAGGTTGTCCCAAGGAGCCACCCACAATTGTGGGTGTTGGCTGTGTCATTTAACGTGTCCTCTCTTCCCAGAACACATGTGTCCCTGCTCTCTCTGCATGGTTGTGGCCCCCTCGTCCTCTGCTTGGGTTCTGTTGGGCAATCAGAACGTGAAGTTGATTCTCTGCCACGCGTGTGTGTGCGTACACATGCACGCACACACGCCACACACACAACACACACCACACACATGTCATACACACACCATACACACATATCACACCACACACACACCACACACAACATAGCATAGCACACAACACACCACATACACATACAACACACACACAGCACACACATACCACACACCACACACACAATACACACTACACACACGCACGCACACACACACACACATACCTCAAACGTGTCTCACAGAGCAGTGTTTGTTTGGCCCTAGCAGCATGTGCCCCATGCTGTTGTCTCTAGTCTATTCTGTTCTGTTTCACAAAAAAAAAAATAAAAGTGGTGATTGAGAGATGTAGGGAGCCCATTCTGTGACCCGCGCATGTTGTTGCTCATCGCTCAAGACACATCCCAGCGGGCTTGCTGGCCGTCAGCTGCGTGGCCGTAAGTCCCGGGTGCCGTCCACAGTGGCCGGCTGTCTTGTCACGGCAGAGCTGGGACTCCACGGCGCCATGAAAGACCAGGGCACCTGCCTAGTGGGTTTGTTGCATTTGACAGGGTTGAGTCTTCATACGGGAGGAGGTGGCAGGACTGGCTCATCCCTGTGCCAGGCACCAAGCCCCACATTCAGTCCCTGGCACTGGCCCCTCTGCGTGGCCCTAGTGACCTCAGCACTGTAGCACCAGGCCACACTGCCTGCAGGGACCTTGTGTCACCAGGCGAGTCCTCTTCCCCAACACTGCTGGGTGTGACTCCCGTTTACACAAGATCACTAAAGAGGTTTTTTTTTTTTTTTTTTTTTTTTAATTAATTTTGGGTTTGGGGCCATACCCAGTGATGATCTGGTTACTTTTGGCTCTGCACTCAGGGATCACATTTGGCAGTGCTCGGGGGACAAAATGGGATGCCAGGGATTGAACCTGGGTCGGATGCATGCAAGGTGAACATCTTAACTTGCTGTACTGTCTCTCTAGGCTGACTAAAGTGCTTTCACGGATTGATGGCTATTTTCATTTTAACAGCATCTGCCCGTTTTTTTCTAGGACTCCTTTAGATTGTAGAAGCTTGTAGTCTCAAGGGCTCTGCCCAGTGTCACTCTCCCTCGCTTACACTGACCTGGTCGTGTCCACCCTGGATCAGGGAGGGCAGGACTTTTCTGCAGGGTGAGGCGGCTGGTCCCTCGAATGAGCACCTTCACGGAGCAGCTCCGGGGGGAAGCGGCTCAGCGGTGGCACACAGGTCTGCATGCTCAAGGCCCCGAGTTTGAGTCCCCGGCACCATCGCAGACCTCAGCATGGTGCAGACTCTGGGTTCCCCCTGCCCCCTGCCTGGTCGGCCCCCTCCTCCCTACAAACTTAGGTCCTGCAGTGGTGCTTCTGGGTGTTTTGGCTTGTTTGGCGGCCACACCCAGCGATGCTCAGGGATTTCTCCTGGCTCTACACTCGGGAATCACACCTGGAGGTGCTCAGGGAACCATGGGGGACACTGGGGATCGAACCCGGGTCAGCCCCCTACCTGCTGTCCTATCGCTCCGGCCCCTAAAGTGGCGCTTCTGACCCAGGCACCTTCCAAAAACTTGAAAGTGAGTTGGGTTTTGCTCTCCCGCTGGATGCTTCCCCTGTCCCCAGTATCCTGTGTTTCTACACAGGATGTGGTTTCCTCCTTTTTGCCCCTCGCGCTGGAACCCCAGGCCTTTTTTTGACGGAGAGCATTATGAGGCCTGACCAAACCCCAGGCTTTGCACTGGGCTCCGCTTTCTGTTTCTCACCCCTCTGGCCTCCTGACGTAGAGCGTGTGGAGCTGTCCTGGAACTGTCCTGGGACCTTCCAGCTGGCCACAGCAGGTACAGCTCACGCAGGTGGCCTTGGGGTCCCCTCACTCCTCACAGACCTCATGGGGAAGCTGCTTGGGCATTAGGCTCCCGGGAGCAAGGAAAACGGCCACATTCAGGAAAAGCATTTTCATTTTATTGAAAAATTATTTACAATGTACTGTGCCTTCATAAATGCTTTATTTATTTTTTAAATCTCTCTCTTCAAACCTGAAGAAAACCTGGGGAGAGTCAAGGGATGAGAGCGGGGCATGGTGACAGGCTTCTTGGGGATTTTGCAAAGGAAGGAAGGGAACGTCACAGCAGCAGCGGCCTGAGCCCGGCAGTGGGTGGGTGGGAGGGTGGGGCGCCAAGGAAGGAGAGGAGCAGCAGGGCCGACCTCCTGGGTGCCCTGTGGGAGACTCAGCGCTGACTGGTTTGGGTGCCGGGCACCCAGCACCTCGGGCCGCCTCTTCCGATTCCTACCGGGTGCGAGTAGGGGTGTGTGTGTGTGTGTGTGTGTGTGTGTGTGTCTCTAGAGGCGAACTTGGAGAGATCCCACACGCTGAGTGGCCCAGGGGTGTGTGTGTGTGTGTGCGCGCGCGTGTGTGTGTGTGTGTGTGTGTGTGTGTGTGTGTCTAGAGGCGAACTTGGAGAGATCCCGCACGCTGCGCCTCTGGCAGGGCCAGGCCCAGAGAGGACGCGGGAACACGCTGCCTCCAGGACTGTCCCCTGCAGGCTGTGACCTTGCCTGGCCCTCGGGTTCATGGCACCTGTTCTGCTTTGGCGGGTAAGGGGATGGGTGCGAGGCCGACCGAGGTTGGACAGGACCCGTGTGCAGAGGTTCTCGGCCTTTCCTGCTCATCCGAATCACCTGGAACGTGTCTGCAGTTCCTGCAGTTGCCCCTCTGTGTGTGTGTGTGGGGGGGGGCAGATTCCAGCCTGGACAGTGAGAGGACACTCCCCGCCAGTGGGCGCCCAGGTCTCAGGGTCAGTAAGTCGTTCCTGATGACTCCGGGGTGCCACCAACCTTGAGAATCGCTGTGCCAGGCCTGCCAAGAGTGAGGCTGTCCACTCCTTGCCTCCAGAGGGAGGCTGGACACTGGAGAAGACCATCTGTACCTACCCAACTCAAGCTGCCCTTGGCCACTTTCTTCTCTCTCTCTTTCTCTCTCTCTCTCTGCATTGCAGAAATTTGGGACTGAAAATTCCACTAAACTAGTGGCTTTGTTCTTTTCTTCTTATTTTTTTAACACATGTGGGTCGGAGACCTTTCAGAATCCTACAATAACGCTCTCAGAAAAAGAGAACTAAGAACTCAAACACTCAATTCTGACAGTGCTAGGGGTTTCACAGACCCTCAAGTCCAACAGTGGACTCCCCTGGGGTGATGGCCCCCAAGGTAAGAACCCCTGAGTTTAAAGCTCCAGTGGGGAAGCATCTGAGATGCAAACAACCCAGAGGAAAGCTCCACCTACCCCTCCTGACAACTGATCACTGGCAGGATGCATGTGGGAAACGGGAAGGAAGAACGGGTTTGGGAAGGGTGGGGCAATTAGGCAGGTAGCACTGGATTACTGAACCCCAGTTAAGGTAGCGCAAGGGGCTGGAGAGAGAACAGGAAGGGAAGTGAGTGTCCGAAGGACAACCTTCATGGCACATTTTCCCCAAATTGGCTGTCGGGAATTCAGAATCTTGATTCCTGGAGTTAGTAGGTATAGTCCTTGTGCCACCTTGTGGTCAGGCTAGGAATTGCACACCCCCACAGGTGGGAAAAATCAGCGCTTTAATTATTTCCTGAACTAAAGTACACTTGGCTGACCTGCTGGGGTTGGAGTTTGGGGGGCATAGCGGGGGACGGTGGGGTGGGAAACGGGTGAAAAGGAAGAGGGATTCTTCCGTGTGATGCACACGAGAGCTTGCATCCTTGCATCCTTGGCTGGCCCGGGCACTCTTTGGTTTGTCATGGCTTAAACTTGCTTTACAGCTTAGGTATTTTCCACGTGAGCTTGTTTTTTTTTTTTTCTTTCTTTCTTTGATTTTGCTTTGCTTGGAACTTAAAACCTGAAATTCCATCTCTGGCTCCCATCTGGATCTCTCCTCTCCCTGCTCTCCGTCTCCTAGAGTGACCACTGAGCCAGCTGAGCAGGAGTGAAACCAGAAGTGTCCCTGGGGGGAGCTCACCTTCCCTCCCCCCCAGCCGAGACACCCCTCCCTGGAGGCTGGGGCCAGGGCTCACAGGACACTCACCGGCGCTCTTCAGTCTTTGTCAGGGCACAGAGCCCCGTGGCAGGGCCCACGGTGCTCACGCTCTGGGTACTGCTCCTGAGCTCACTTCATCCCTGCACCCCTCCCAGCCTCCCATGTGGCCCCCTGCCAGGGCTCTGAGCTAAGCAAAGCATGAGATATGGCATCAAGGGGAACCCCCAGGAACAAAAAAGGGCCTCAGGAGTCCCTGAGGGGTGGTGTCAGCTCAGCTGGGGAGTCTTTTTTTTTTCCTCCAGTTGCAGGCAGTGGTGTGGCCGCCGACATGACCACTTTCTAGCATGTTCCAGCAGAGGCAGCCCTGTCCGTTATGGCCACCACCAGGCTCTGAGTCCAACTGGAGCAAAACCTGCCAAACTGACAGCGAGGGGTGATGAGGTGGTAGAGAAAGCTGAGCGCCCTGTCACCGCACAGGCCCTCGGGGAAGCGAAGGATGGGAGCGTGGGTCCTCCCCCAGAGCTCTGGGCCTCACGGTCCACGCAGCCGGCTGCCCATCATGTGATCAGCGGCGTTAAGTTGGAGTTGTCCTCGGAGGCGCGCTCTCCGTCCGGCGACCGCTTCCTTTTCCGACCGCCTGTAAGACAGACACACGGTGTGAGGGTCCGTCTGCAGGACTGGGAACACGTGCAGAGTTTCTTGGTGCGCCCAGGGCGCTTCAAAGTTGAGCGGAGAGGCAGAGTCCTTGTGAGCCGGAGAGATGGGGGCAGGAGTGAAGGCGCTTACTTGCCTTATACACAGCTGACCCTGGTTCCATCCCTGGCACCGCATCTGGTCCCCCAGTCCCTGCCAGGAGTGAACCCTGAGCACTGCCACGTGTGACCCCCACAAGCCAAAAAACAAAGCCCAGATGCCCTTGCTGGTTGTTTGCAGAGGGGACCCCTCCCCACCCTGCCCCCTCCTGCTGCTGGTCCCTTAGGAATCATCTTTCACCTGTTCATTTTTTTTTCCCTTTTTTGGGTCATACCCAGCAATGCTGAGGGGTTACTCCTGGCTGTGCACTCAGGAATTACTCCTGGCGGTACTCGGGGGACCATATGGGATGCCAGGGATTAGAACTCAGGTCGGCCACATGCAAGGCAAACACCCTACCCGCCATACTACCACTCCAGGCCCACCTTTCACCTCAGATTTCAAAAAAAAAACCTGTCACTGTCACTATCCTCCCGTTGTTCATCGATTTGCTCAAGCGGGCCCAGTCACACTGTGAGACATGTTACTGTGTTTGGCATATTGAATACGTCCTGGGTAGCTTGCCAGGCTTTGCCGTGCGGGCGAGATATTCTTGGTAGCTTGCTGGTCTCTCCAAAAAAACCTAGAAACCTGTAAATAGTGACCTGCCTTTGAAATGGAAATGTTCTGGCAGAAGATCCAGAATCATGGCCTGGATCCCTCTGGCAGAGGGCTGACCTCTTGGCCATTCAACAGTCCAACCAATAAGGACTCGTGGCCCAGCTGGAAGTGCTGCTGGCTACAGGGGCGAGGTGGGGGTGGGGGGCGTCCGTCAGGGCACCCCGTGCTTCCGAGGAAGGAAGGAGCCTGCTCTGCTTTCTCCTTCCAGCCTCCTGGACACAGATTCTTCCCTTATGGGACAGGGGGACCAAGGTGATGGTGGGTATAAGGATCCCAAGGGTCCCTCCTTGCAATGCTTCAGCTCTTCCCTGGTGGCCAGAGGTGACCATGGTCCAATAAGCATTTATAATGGGGGTGGGGCAGGATTTGCCAACTCGTTTCCTAGACAACTACCAATGATTGGGCCGGATCTCCAAACTCTGGGATGCAGTGCCGAGCCCTATGATGGGGTTCTATGCCGACTTCATTGCGGTTCCCTGGAGGAGGCCCCATCTCACCCACAGTGAGACCCTGACTCACTTTTCATGTTGGGTAGCTTTAAGTGTTTGGATTTTGGGCCACACCTGGAGGAACTCAGGGCTTGCTCCTGGCCCTGTGCTCAGGAATGACTTTGGAGACCCTCTGGGATGTGGTGTGGGGGTGGGGATGTGACCCAGGTTGGTCACGTGCCAGGCAAGCGCCCTTCCCGCTGTGCTGTGCCTAGGTGGGTGGCCTATGGGGGGGGGGGGACAGTCACTCACTCAGGGTTCTCAGAAGTTTCTTGCCTACAGTCTCCTCGTGATCACTGCTGCTGGGGCTGCTTCCGGCGTCCAGGTTGATGTTACAACAGTCACTGTCCGACGCTGTGAGCAAGGAGAGAGCAAAGACCCAAGGCTGTGGGACAGATTGTACCTGCGTGAGCGGCTTCAAGGCTGGAGCTCAGGGTGGGCTGTCATGGGGCTGGGCTGTCACAGGGAAGCTGCTGGTGTCGGTCCACTAGCAAGAAGAGAGAGGGGGAACCAACCCTCCTAGCACCCCCAGCACAGACGGTTCTGAACTCGGCGCGAGATTGGGGGGTGAGGGTGGGGGGGTTGGTCTTCCTCCACTGTGGTGGGAGTCCACTCCTTCCCAACAAGTCCCACCTGGAGTGCAGGTGCTGGAATGACCCAGGGGGTGGCAGTCACATTGGGTGCTATCATGGGTGCACTTTCTGTTTGCTGTAAAGGGGTGGGGGAGAGCTGGGGGTTTCTTTGCTGTGTAGGGTGCAGGAGACCAAAGGAGTCTGGCCACCTCCCCTCTGCGAGTGCAGACCCAGAAAAATGACAGGGCTCAGAGCAATAGAGAACCTTCTCCCCTGGGAAGGGGCCCAGCCCGAAACCCCGGGTGGGTATGGACCTGGGCAAGTCTGTGCCCTTTGTGGTCTTTAGGCCCCCTTGGCCCCCCAGGTCAGATCAGGTGGAGGGACCAGGTGACCTCCAGAGACCACCCAGCTTCTCCAGGCTCACTCCTCTGCTGCAGTTCCCTGCCCCAGGCCTCAGTCATGGAGGACACTGCTTCTCACGTCAGCCCTCAGAATATGGGGGTTCCAGTGTCATCCCGGAGTTCTGGGGTGAGTGCACAGACGTGGTTGCACTGACTCACACAATCCCCACATGCGGATCAGGTCATTGCTCTGGACCTGGTGTGTGTGTGTGGGGGGGGGGGGGGGGTGGCTCAGATGAGAGGGGCTCAGATGGCCGCCGGTGGGCTGGCGTGGTTGTAGCTTAGCAGGGGAAGCTGGGGGGAACGTGTCCTAGTGAGATAAGCACAGAGGACCCTGGGGCTATCTGGGGGCTCCCCAGGAGCCCCATCAGGATGGAAGCATGGAGGCAGAGGCAGCTCGGGCCTTGGGTAGGTCCCACAGAGGACTCTGGTCTCGAGTCCCCAGGAGAGGGTGAGCCCAGCCAAAGCTGTAAGCCAGGTCTGTGAGAACCGCCCAGCATGATACGCTGCCCGTGGGGTCTGTGAGATCTGCCCAGCATGACACGTGGCCAGTGGGAGTCAATCCCTTCCTGCGCACAGCTATGCTCTGAGGCTGGCACCGGGGCTGGCATAGAGCATCAGACGGCTTTCTTCACAGCGATCAAGACATGACACGGAGTCTGGCGCTAAAGGGACTTGCCCCAAAAGTCCTGGATGAGGCCAAGACCCTGCACTTTGCTCTCGTGTGTCACCAGGGGAGGGGTGCAGGGGGAGTTTGCCAGTGGACGGGGCGGGGGTTCTGCGCCCCCCCCCCACTGCCTGGGCCACCCAGGCTGACACAACTCTCAGGGTTGCTCCTCTGGACCCTCTTCTCCCCCCACCCCACCCCTCGCCCCCTGACCTGCCCTCAGGGGACCCGCTGAGGGGGACAGCGAGAGTGGCCGCAGGTCAGTCTCCTCGAAGTCCTCCACGTCCTCCTGGGGGAAGGCCAGCTCCTCCATGCGCAGGTACACGGCCTCGCCGGGGCTTCTCAGCCCCTCGGAGCGGCTGCCTGGAGGGGACAGCCAACCCATCAGCTGGGTGTGCCCAGAGAGGGTGGCGCAGGCCAGAGTGGGGTGCGGGGTGGGAGGTGGGGGGTGCCAAGGGGACTCACACGGCAGGCTGCCCCTGCTGGTGAGGAGGGCGAGGAGAGGGTCGTCCTTGGGGGTCTGCGGTGTGCCCCGGGTGGTGGGCGCCTTGGTGGAGTCTCCATCCGTGCAGGCCTCCATGTCGGGGGACTGGGGCGAGCTGTCCATGTGGCAGGCGGTCAGCGCGTTCTGGTACTGCTGCCGAGTGATCTGCAAGGAAGGGGTGCAGGGGGCGGGCTGGGGTTGGCTCTCCCAACTCAAGGGCAGCCCCCCAAAAGACTGCTTTGGCGTCTTCACAGCCCATGACCCATGAATCAGGGTCTCTCCTGGCTGTACCAGTGGGAGGGACAACCAGGAGACCCGGATGGGTTTGCTGCCAGACTGTCCTGGGTCACCTGCACAGACTCTGGTGGAGCACTAGAGAAGCCCGGGGAGCACGTGTGGTCTTCAGCACGTTGGGCAAGGGCCGTCCTCCTCCCCAAGTGGCAGTGGGGGCTTGGGAAGGGGCTCCTGGCTGCCACACCCTTGCAGGAAGCAAGCCTGAGGCCGCCCAGGCACTTCTACTCTAGCTGTGGTTCAGCCTGGCTGTGTTTGCCCCATGGGGAAAAGTCTCTAGCTAACAACCCCTCCCCCCTGCACCCCCACTCCAGTGGCCTCCTCAGATCTTGGCGGGGGGGGGGGGTGTCACTCCTCACCCACCAATGAGGGCATCTGCAGAGTGGGGCTCAGCCCGAGCAAGAGGGAACTGGCATCCCCCAGGCAGCAGGCCGGAAGGGATGCCCTGACAGTGTACGGAAGGATGCTGGGCATCCTGGTTTCCCACTGGAGACGGGTTGGTGAGGGCACAGGCAGACAGGCGACCCCGTGGGACTCTGTGGCCCCGTGAAAGGCGTGAAAAGCGTGGAGGGAAGGAGGAAGGGGCTGACACAGCTTCTGCCCAGGTCAATATCCCCGGAGTTGCTTCTGTCCCTTTATCCCTGCTACGGAAATAGCAAAGGCCCTGCAGGGAGGGAGTGGGGGCAAAGACAACGCACAGCCCTGTGGCCCTGTTCCCTCCAGGACACTGAGGTCAGAGCCATCTGGCTGCAGACGAGGCTCCTGAATTGCTACTTCCGGGATGTGGCTCAGCTGCAGAGCACGTGCCTCGTACGCCTAAGGCCCTGGGTTGGACCTCTGGTACCAAAGCCAACAAAGCAGGCTGGCACATGACTCCAGAGGACGTCTGCGACGGGTTTGGCATCTTGCTAGGGCTCTCCAACAGTGGCCGCTTCTCAGCGGGCCTCTTTGCACCTGCTCCCCAATTCCTCCTCTCCTCACTGCCTGCTCTGGGTCCCTCCCTCAGTCTCCCGGGGTCTGTGGGTGACAGTCAGATCCAAGGCCTCGAATTGGTTCTAGTCTTCTCCTTACGTGCACCCACAGCGCTGATTCTCCATTATCTCACGCTCACCCCACTTCCACCTTCCCTCTATTACTTTTTTTCAGTGTGTGTGTGGGGTGATGAAGGAAGCTACACCCATCAGTGCTCAGGGCTTACTCCTGGCTCTGCACTCAGTGATCATTCCTGGCGGGGCTTGGGGGACCATATGTGGTGCCGGGTGTCAAACCTGGGTTGGCCATGTGCAAGGCAACCAGTCGGGTGGAGCCAGGTTCAACAGCTCAGCCAGGCCAAGGGGTCGAGACTTACTCAGGAGGATTTCCACTTCCCATAAAGCAGAACTGTGCTTTAGTGCTGAAACTTCAATGCATAAAAGCGTCTGCCATTGGAAGACTCCTAGTATGGTTTCTTCTACACACTTAATTTGTTGTTGTTTTATTTTTTTTGGGGGGGGGCATACCTGGAGATGCTCAGGGGTCATGCTTGGTGGGGCTCAGGGGATCATATGAGGTGCCAGGGGTCAGACCCTGGTTGGGTACATGGAAGGCAAACACCTTCCCTGCTGTACTCTCTTTCCTGCCCCATGCTTAGTTTGTTGGTCTACAGCAAATTTATCTCGAGGCATGTACATGCGTGCACGCACACACAAATGCACGCGCGCGCGCGCGCGCGCACACACACACACACACACACACACACACACGTGTGGTGCCGGTGGCAGAGGACCCAAAGGAAAGGGCTCTGTGCTGGTGATGAGCATCAGATGAAGACTCCCAAGGCCTCTGTCTCAGCCGTGTGCCACCGGGGAGTGGTGAATGACACCAGGGCAGATGCATGGCTCCATGCTCCCTGCACACGGGCCGCCCGTGGGGGCCGGTGGTGGATGCAGCCCTAACCCAAGGGCGGCCCCGGGGGTGGGGCCCCCGGTACCTTCACGAACTGCACATCGCTGAGGATGTGCACGGAGTAGTCGGGCGTGTACAAGTTGTTGCTGCCGCTGCAGAGCTGCGTGTTGCTGCCCCCGAAATCACTGCGTTCTCGGTTCGGAGACTCGGAGCGGTTCAAGCCGCTGCAGCGAGAAGGGGACCTGTTTACTGCAGAGGGAGGGAAAGAGCGAGAGAATGAGAGAGAGAGAGAGGGAAAGAGAGGGGAAGAGACGGAGGAGAGAGGAAGAGAGGAATACAAAGAGGGAGAGAAGGGAAGAGAGAGGGAAAGAATGAGGAAGAGACAGAAAAGGGAGGGAATGAGGCAGAGAGGGAGAGAGAGGGAGAAGGGGAGAATGAGGGAGGGGAAGAGAATGAGGGAGAGAAGGAGAGATAGAGGGAGAAAGAAGAAGAGGATAAGAGAGAGGGAGAGAAGGGAAAGAGGGAGGGAGAGAGAGGGGAGAGGGAGAGAGATTTATTGAGGTCCCCCAGGATTTCTAGACAAAGGCAGACCAGACCCCCACCCCCACCCCCCACGCCACCCCACCCCTCAGACAGCAGCTGCTCCCCCAGAGTTGATTCCTGGGAGAAGCAGATACTGACACAGGAACTCAGTCACCCTTTTCTGTTCCCCACCACCTCCATCGGAAGAAGCGGGTGATTCAGCCCCTCACTGGGCTCCGTCCAGTAGGCGCCGGGCACAGGAGGTGGGAAGGCCCCGGCCAGGACCAGCCAAACCTTTCTTAGGTCTGAGGTCTGTCCTCAGAGCTCAGAGAACCAATCCTCAGGGGCTGACTGAGGCCTAACCAGCAGGGCAGGGGCCCTGGAAAGAAGTACCCAAGGAGGCCCCAAGCCCGTGGGGAAACACGTGGCAAGTGCGTCAAACACATTTTGGTTTGTGTTTTAGCTTTGGGAGCCACACCCAGTGGTGCTGCTCTGTGCTCACTCCTGGTCCTGTGCTCAGGGATCATTCCCGGTGTGGCTCAACCTGGGTCGGCTGCAAGGCAGTCACTGTCCCATCTCTGTCCATCTCGCTGGCCTCGTGAATACGCTGTGAAGCACGTCTGATTCTGGTCCTCGACAAATGCACCTTCGTGGCAACTTGAAGGCCGGGTCTTCCTGACTCCTTAGAAATTGGTGCCAGACTGTAGGGGTGCGGGCAGCCTCTGATTTTACAGTTCCAATCCCCTGTGCCACCCACCCTCGGGTTGTCTGAATCGGGGATTCCAGGATTCTGGGGTCTGAGCTATGATCTGAGAGGAAGAGCTGGGCCTGGGTGGACTCATGCCTTTGGCCCTGTGAAGCCCTCCCTACACACAGAAGGGCAGGACTGGGGAGGGACTGAAGCAGGGGTCCTCTAAGGAATGGATGCAGGGCAGGGCTTCCTCCTGCAGGACCACACAGTGGGTGCTGAAATACCTGATCCCCCTCTGTCAGAGGCCCCCTACATGTCAATCAAAGGGGGCTTCTGAGGGGTGGAAGCGCAGTGAAGTTAAGGCCACGTGGCATGGTTTCAACATGGACTGTGTAAGCTTCCGGGCCTTGGAGGCTCAGAGAGAGGTTCTGAAGGTGACCTTAGCACCCAACTCAACCCTGGAGTCAATCCCAGTGAGAGACTGCCCTGCTCCCACCCTGGCTCCTTCTCAACAGATGCCATTATGCATTTCTTCCCCCAAAGAGGTGCGAGCAGACCTCGGGCGGAGCCTAGGGTTTTGAAAGAAGGTTGCGTTCTTCCACTCTTTACCCTTGCTGGGTAGTAGCTTGGTGATCTGGAGCGCTCTTGAGATAACGCTGCCATCAAAACACCTGACCTGCATCTCCCTGCCGCAGCAGCAAACACACCCCCACTGTGGCCAGGCAATCCAAGTCGTAGAAAGATCCAGATGACAGTCACTGCTTCCTGCTCGCCACAGCAACGCGATCCTCGCCTCCAGGATGGCGTCTGTAGAATTCAGGGTTCCACTCCCTGTTGTCCTTCCCATCCTCACCCCGACTTCTGTTATGTGCGCATCATCTGTTACTAGGTTTCAACTGAAGAGCCACCCAGTGAGATCCTCCTGCTTTCCCTGATCACTGTCCCTGTGGATTCCTTCAAGGCTCTTCCCAATCAGCTCTTGGTTATTGTTGTCTTGGGGCCACACTGGGCAGGGCTCAGAGTTTACTCCTGGCAGGGCTCTGCAGGCGAGGCCATCATGGGGTGCCAAGGATCAAACCCAGATTGCAAGGCAAGCAGCCTACCCGCTGTACTATCTCTCCCGCTCTCCTTTCTGTCGTTTCTCACTCATGACACGCTCACACTTGTCCCTGCTGTGTCTCCTCACTTCACCACAATGTTCCCGGAGGGCAGACACGTGATGTTTTCTGGAACCCAACCATGCACGGGGCCAGAGCATGTGCTGAATGAAAACAGAGAGAATGGATCCACGGAAAAGGTGCCTCACGGAATTTCAACTTAGAATCTAAATTTTGATTTAAAAAGTTTCAGCGCTCTCAAATCATCCTGGATGAGGAAGAGCTCTTCCTTTGCACCTTAGAAGCAGTGCGCCTGGTGAATCAAAGCATCCCAAAAGCCCTGGTAACTGGAGGAAGAGGCTGCGGGGACTGGGGGTGGGGTGTGTGTGTGTGTGTGTGTGTGTGTGTGTGTGTATGTGTGTGTGTGTGTGTGTGTCTGTCTGTCTGTCTGTCTGTCAAATAAGAGCCTGGGAGTCTGGAAGTTCTGTGGTTCTCTTTAGGGCCAGCCTTCTCTTCTGGGTGAGGGAGGCCACTACTGTGACCAGGCACCAAGGTGAGAGGGCTAGTTAAGTGCCACCGAGATCAGAGCAGAGCCTCCCAGGCACAGGGTTCCTTGTCCTGATCCCTGGAGAACTCATAGATCCCTCTGGTGTGGCCACAGCCCTCGGTGACTTTCCTAAAAGGCAGCAAAGCCAGGTGTTTCCTGGTGGCTCTCGGTGGGAGAGCGGGGCAGGCAGCCTCTCAGGAGAGAGGCTTCTGTGGGTGGAATGTGGGAAATAGGACCCCGTGGTTTCGCTCTCAGCTGTGCGGGGAGCAAGGGGAGAGAGTGTGAGCGGGCGCAGGCAGGAAGCAGCCGTGGCTGTTGGAGAAACCCTCTTCTGCCCAGCAATGGCTACAAAGCCCTAGAAGCCTTCAGGGAAGTGCTCAGGCCAATAGCTTCAGGTCACCTTCGAAGCAACTTCCTGAACCTGCCGGAAATGGGGGCCACAGCTGCACTCCAGGGTTCCCTCCTCGCTGGGATCCAGTGCAGTCTCTGCACCCAGCCTCCACACCCTGGGAATCACATTTCAAACACAAACAGCCTCTCTGAGGACAGAAACAGCTCTTCTTTCTTTCCTTTCCTTCTTTGCTTTTTGGGATGCTCAGGGGTTACTCCTGGCTCTGCACTCAGGAATTACTCCTGGTGGTTTACTCTGGGGACCATATGGAATATCAGGGATCGACCCCAAGTCAGCTGTGTGCAAGGCAAGCGCCCTCCCCGCTGGACTACCACTCTGTTTCCAGAGGCTGCTGCTGCCGCCTGCAAACCTAGCCAATTACCCCACAACCCAGGAGGCAGTCCACAGACCCGGGCTAAACAGGGAAACTCCCTCTGGGTAAGGATGGCTTGTCTGGCCTCGTGTTTGTGAGCACGCTGCTTTCAACAAGTCACAGTCCTCTAGAGGGAGCACAAGGCCAACCTGGAGAGGGGGCAGCAGGGTCCCCGGAAATCAGAGCAGGACCAAGAAGAGTTGGATTCTAGAACCTGTCCCTCTACCTTCTTCCTACACACAGTGACTGAGTCGAGGGCGACTTCCTCCTTACTCACTGTTTCCCAACCACCCGCGGTTGGTTGTGGGAATCAAACAAAACAAGAGAATTCTGTCTAACCATCAAGGCTTGATTCATTGTGCAAGACACAGGCAATGTGTACTTTTCTGTGTCTGGATTCTTAGTCGAGCCTGGAGCCAGAGGGACCCAGGTCTGTTTTTCCCACACGACTGTACGACTGGGGATTTTTCTGGTGAGATGGGACAGAGCAAAAGAGAGGATGTTTAGCTCACCACAGTCCTTCCATGGGAAGGCGTGGGGGTTGGCTAATGTTGGAGTCCAGGCAAGAGAAGCTGGGGAGAATAGAGCCGGAGAAGCAAGGAATCTTGCTCACTTCTCCCGTTCATGCCCATCCCTGCTCCTCTCTGCCAGGTTACACCAAGGACAAACTCACAAAAACAAAAACAAACAAACAAAAAACTGGCCCTGAGTTAACCGCTTTATCTCACACCTACTTTCAATTAGGTTGGTCTCACGCCCACAATTACGAGAAATCAGGGGAAGGTTAAACCTCAGAGCAGTCAGAGTTGGGTCGGAAGTCTAATGAATGAGTCACCTGAACCTCTGTCTGACACGGGGTTACCATGAAGTTTCTCAGAATTAAGTAACAGTGAGCTAAAACGAACCTTCTTTTAAGGTTGCTGTCAGCCTGATGTCTGGTTCACTGAGGACTGATTAAGCAGGAGCGCACCCTTCGGCTTCGACCCTCTCATTTGATCATCTTTTATAAGATCCCTTTCCTCTAACACAACACATTCTTTATGCACCAAGATGCCCTGCAGGGGAGGTTCCTGAAGGTCTGTGATGGAGTCGAGTCTGGCCCCAGCTGGCATGTAGCAAATCAGTTGGCTGGTGAGCGCACCAGCTTGGTATTTCACATCTATCATACTGTCTCGATTATTTCACAAAGGCTGAGATCTCATGAAGCAAGAGCGATTATTTCTAAGTGGAAAAATCACCATCAAGCGAGAGGAAAAACTTTGGTGGTATCCGAGAAGACAGTTTCCTTGTGTTGTACAGATAAACGTGGAACACGGATGGGTTTCGAGGGAAGGAAGGGACCTGTTAGCCCCAACACTTTGGAAGTTGCCAACTTGGTCTGGACATAAGTCTGCTGCAGAGACAGACTTAACGGAGCCACGATGAGTGAAGATATGGTGGGTGCTCAGAAACATCCCAGTTACTGTCCGTGGATAGGGGAGACGGTGTAAAGGCTGGAGAAAATGGGCCGTGCTCTAATTTCAGGGCAATTTCACGAGTGACTTCTTGGTTTGACCATTATTTACTCCACAGCCCTCATAGTTCATCCACTAGGGATGAACACAATGCAAAAAGTTCATGGATCATTTCCCCCCCTTTTTTTGGATCACACCTGGCAATGCACAGGAGTGACTTCCGACTCTGCACTCAAGAATCAATCCTGACAGTGCTTGGGGGACCATTGGGGATGTTGAGGATCGAACCCAGGTCGGCCACGTGCAAGGCAAATGCCCTACCTGCTGTACTATAGCTCCAACCCTCTCATGGATCATTCTTATTTATTGCATCCTCCTCTGTCCTTGAGTTACCATGGAGCTCTCAAAGGAGCTGTTTTACCTGGTGTAGAAGAATCCCCCTAACTTTTGGGGGAGTCTCCTAAACAATGCTCAGGAGGTCCAAGGATCACACTGGCAATTTTCAGCCAACCCGAGGATCTGTTCAGTGTCAGGGCCTGAGGATGTGATGCTACTTGGGCCCTGCAGTTCTGGGGGTACCCCGGTCACCCTGGTGGTGCTGGGGGCCTCCAGGACTGCATCCAGTCCATGTGGGGTCAGGTATCAAATTCAGGTCAGGTGCCTGCAAGGCATGTGCCCTTAGCCCTGTACTATCTTCCGGCCCCAGACCCCCTAGGTTTCCTATAAATAACACGGGAGATTCAGCTCAATGTGACACGTGCATTCAGCATCTCTGATATTTGAAGAGCCCGAGAGAATATGATCACCACATAGTTATATGACTAGGACGATTAGGATGGGCTAGTGGTAAGTGAAATGGACAGGGAGAGGATAAAGTAGGTGGGAACAAGGCAGAGCATTCTATATTCCATTCATCCTCCCTATTCTTCTCCTCCTGACATTCTGCAGTCAAATGAGGAGGAAGAAGTCACTGCCTCCCTCACCCCAACCATTTCTCCACATGGTTATTTACGTAGGTTTAGACCCAGGAGTTGAATTCAGAGCAGAACTAGCAGGACCATTGAGCACCAAATCAGCGCTTGTCTCCACCAGGGTGTTCCTGCTGTGACACCCACAGGGAGCCAAGACCCCCGGCACACCCCACTGGCTCCAGAAACCCAGTCCCCACGCATGTTTACCTGGGGAGCCTGCCAGAGAGTCCCCTCTGCTGAAGGCGAAGGAACGGGACACAGAGACGGGCACTAAAGAGTCAAAGGCCAAGGTTTTGTGAGTGGCAAAGGGAAAGATAAACACAAAAAGGGAGAGACAAAGAGCAAAGTGGGTCAGACAGTCTGTTCCTGGATCTTCACTGAGTCACATTTCTCTGCACACGGAAGCTGCAGCCTCTCACAGCCATGCTCCAGAGCAAGGAAAAGAAAACAGAGGAAAAGCACACTGGCTGGAGTCATCTTGAATGAAAGCCCAGTGGGGAGTGTGGGAGGCCATACCAGGCTCCCAGTGGGCCATGGGTGGTCACCTGTAGCCACAGGTAGCCGCCTGGGACTGGCTCATTGCAGGAGGTGTTTGTGGGCAGGCCCTTGTTAGGGTCTTTCTTCGGGAAGCCGAATTCTGCCTAGGTCTCAGCTTTCCTGGTACCTAGTCTGTGGTCCCAGCGCTGGGGAGGAACTGCATTAAGGTTAGAGGTACTGCAACCCTTCTAGCAATCTGAGTGAAAATCCATTCACCCAGGGTCTCTTCTTTTATTGTTGTTGTTTTAATTTGGGGGCCTCATATGGCAGTGCTCAGAGCTTACTCCTGGCCCTGTGCTCAGGGATCATTCCTGGAGGGGTCTGGGGGGACCAAATGGGCTACCAGGAATGGAACCAGGGTTGGCCCCATGCAAGGCAAGTGCAGTACTACCACTCCAGCCTTGGTAGCATCTTAGCAAGTCCTAGCACTCCAAAGCACCTCTCAGTCTACATCCTTCCCTTCCCTCTGCCCACCCACAGTATAGGGACTATTATCACTATCACTGGGAACCCCAGCGACGGCAGGGTGAAGGGTGCAGGACACTCCAGTCCCTCCCCCTCCTGAATCTCACCAGACAGTGCCCCCTGGGTAAGCCTCTGTCTTTATCTTGGGATCTGATCATTCCCTGAGTGCTTCCCGGCTTAACTGTGCTCAGGCTGCCTGTGACACAGGAACATAGCCCACTTCCGCCATCCTGTTTGCTGAAACGGCATATGCACACGGAGAGACCGTGGGGCACTTGAGGCCTACTCACTGATCATTTATTTTGACACGCTTGATCAAAGACTACTTGAACAGGCACCCAGCATCGCCAGACACACGGGCATAAAAACCTCCAGCATCTCAGCAGAATCCCAGTGTTTCCTGGGCTGCAGATGAAAAGTCTGCCCCACCCTGCAGATGGGACCTTTTCTCTCTCCCAGCCTGGACCCCACTGTGGGCATCTGCTCTGACTCCTGGAGCTCGGTCTTGTCCTCTACACTGCTGGGCTCACCAGGCTCCCTTGAGCTTCCCAGAGAACCAAGAGCAGGGGGAGAACATTGACTGTGTTCCCTTCATCTTGCCCAGGATAGCCAGCATGACTACCTTGTAACCTCAGCTTGCTTGAAGCACAGGTCATCGGGTCAATGCATCATTTTTCACAGAGCACCTGCAAAGACTGGCTCCAGGTCAGGGATTCTGTGCTAGCCCAATGCTGGGGTACCTGACCAACTGAGGGGGCAGTAGAAATCTCAGATGAAAGCAGAGTGGCACCTTTTGTTTGCTCATTTAAAGAAAGCAGATGTCCAGGAGGGTGGTAGGCCAGATGAGTTTAGGGACCTCTGTCCTGGCCCTGCTGGCATTGAAGCTGTGTGGCTCAGCCCTCAGCTCTCCTCACCCTTCAGGCTGAGGTTCTTGGCCAGTGAAAGACAAGGGGTGGGGGTTGGGGGGCTTTGTAGCTACTTCCCACTTCCCTAAGAAAGGGCCTTAGGGGGAGGATGGGAGCGTCTCTCGGCCCTCATGGCCACTGAGATGCAGCTTCCTCCTGATGATGGGTGAGGGAGCTGAGCTATGAACAAGGGGAGCAGACTTGAATAATGACTCTCCGTCCACCAGCTTTGGAGGCAAGGACCCTGTTGCAGTTTGCTCCTGTCCTCCCCTTGAAATGGATCTGGCAAGAAACAGCTAGAGACAGGAAGAAGGCAAGGACCAAACCACACAGCATCTTTCTACTACATAATTTTTTTCTGATGGGGGCAGGGTAACACACCCAGAGGTGCTTGGAGGACTGGTGCAGGACTGGGAAACAAATCTGGGAGCTCCCATATGCAAATTACTTTGACATCTCTCTGGACCTACTTTTTTTTTTTTTTAAAGAAAGATTATTTAAGTTAAGTGGATTTGGGGAACCTAATGTAATTCTCTTGTCTGCCCCTGGAGTTTCCATGTCGTTTGGTCTTCTGGAAGTGTCCATATAGGGCTAATATATTTAAAAATAATGGTTAGAGTCCCAGGAGTGACTGTAGCCTGAGTCATTCCTATCACACATGCGGTGGTGGAAATTTCCTTTAGAAAACCAAGGTCTCCAAGGTCCTATGGCCCATCCCTCACCTGTTTGCCTTCTCATTCTGGATCCTGAGAGTCTCTTATCAGCCTTTCCTAAGATTTGATGGCTCATATGAATATAATAATGCACCTGGGTTTTAATTTCCTACTCATGTTCCCGCCAGCCCTTGGGTGTGGGCTGCTATTTTGGCTTCGTTTCTGCTTTCTCGTGGTCTAGGGTGCAACACTTAAAGCTGTTCTGGGATTCCCACACAGAAATTGCAGGTTGAACCTGATGGTTTTAAACTCTGCATTTCATTATGCCCCAGGAGCTTATGGAACACTGAATGGGTCTGGTCAAGCATCGACCCGATGGGTGACTTGAAGCGAATCACTTCATGATGTCTCTGTGCTGAGACAGTATCTCCCTTCCCTGTGTCTGCCATACTTGTGACAGCAAGCTAGGGACTCTCTGATAAATCCCTGTAGAATATGCTAGGTCACATCTCTTGCATGATGAGATCAAACATCCCATGGGATATTAAAATGTTCACCGTGAAAAATAACCACTGAAGGCAATGCAAAATTCAGACCAAGGAATCCAAAAGAAATCTAGGAGAAGAATTCGTTCTGCATCACACTTAGATCACGACGAAGGCCATGCCATCTGAACACAAGTGCAGTTACTCCAGACAGGAGACAGCAAGGAGGCTGAGCACAGCAGGGGCAGAGCAAACCAGCCAGCAGCCCCGAATCAGTCCCCGCCACTGGCATGCACGGCAGGTACCTCTCCACCAGCGGCGAGGTGGGAAAGGAGGAAAGAGAAGCAGAAAAGCAACACAGTTCCCCCAGCCTGGGACACTGTTCCCAAATCTTGCAGTCACAGCCTCTGAACCCCACAGTCGAGACAGCATGTTCAGGTTTCCACATAAAGGCCCGTGGCTGAATAACCACAGCAGAGAGGGGAAGGCTGGCACTCCACCGCATGAGTCACCACCCAAGCACATAAGCCAACTGCCCACGTTTGCCAGGACAATGATTGGTGCCACCCCAAACCAGCCCTGCTCCAATCCCCCTGCCATGTGTCACTTGCACAAGAGCAACAGAATACTCTCCACACACACACACACACACAGACACACAGACACACACAGACACATACACACAAACTTAGCTGCTGGGGGGTGTTAGTACCTGGCAGGAAACAGTGCTAAAGAGGTAGCCAGCATTTTTCATTAGACCCATCCCACAAAGTGTGCGGTCCACGTCCCCCAAGCAGGCTGCGACAGGACCACAGTGGGGAGGACAAGGATGGGGTGGGGGTGGGGGGTTGAGAAATACATACGAAAGACAGAGGATCCAGTCAGACTCCCAATCTTCCGCACGTCGCTATCTGAGGGCGAGAGGACTTGGTATTACAGAAGCAATTCAGACACACTTTCCTCGGGGATCCCCCCTCATGCTCCCCATACCCAGCACAGACCCAGCAAAACACAGGGCACTGAAGGAAAAGGCAAAGAGGAAAAGAGGTTTTCTTTGCTTATTGAGAAATACCACCCTCGGGGCTGGGGCACAGCGGGTAGGGCGTTTGCCTTGCACATGGCCGACCTGGGTTCGATTCCCAGCACCCCATAAGGTCCCCTGAGCACTGTCAGAAGTAAGTTCTGAGTGCATGAGCTAGGTGTAACCCCTGTGCAACACTGGGTGTGACCCAAAAAGCAATGAAAAAAAAAAGAAATACCACTCTCCAGGCCTTCAAAACATTCCTGATAGAGTCTACTTCAAACTACTACAGATTCTCTGAATAGGAAATTCTACCTTTATGATTCTCGGGCCCATTTCACAATGGAAGAAACCCAGGCCCAGGAAGGGACATTGGCTAGTCCAGGGTTCGTAACAGGAGTAAAGACTTTGAGTCTGGAGTTGGGAGTCCAGGGTTCATAACAGGAGTAAAGACTTTGAGTCTGGAGTTGGGGAGGGCATGGGGGGACTAGAGAGATCACACAGGGCTTAAGGCACTAGCCTTGCCTATGACCCACGCTGGTTCTCAAATCCTCAGCAACCACCTAGGGTTCCCTGAGCCCTGCCAACTCAGTCCTGAGCATGACTAGGTCTGGCCCCCAACCCCCTGTTCCCCCCCCCCAAAAAACCCTCCAAAATGTGAAACAAAAGACTTTGATGCAATTCCGGCAGCCTCCCTGCTGCTGCTACATCACACTGGGGTACCTGAGCAAGAAGAGGTCATGATGGCTGGGACGCCATAGTAGGTGAAGGCTCCATTCTCAAAGCGAAGACCTTCCTTACCGACCTCCACCTCCACTTTCCCCTGGAGAAGGAAGCAAGTACACAACGGGAACGAATGAGCATAGCCAACTCTAGTACAGCCCCTCAGCACGTCTGCCTGGAAAACAAAGAACTTATATCCTTATCACAGGGCAATGTGCATCCCGCCAGACTTGCAGCTCAGAAACAGCACCTGCGTGTATGTGTGTGGAGAGGGGGTCAGACCTGGTGAGGTGTGGGGGACCGGGTGGGTATGGGTTCATATCTGGGCCTCTTACTCCAGCTTTTTGACCTACCTCTCTAGCTCTCAAACCATGGTTGTGTGTGTATGTTCTTTTTCTAACTCCAAAGTACCATTGTTAGTTTTTTCCCAGTTGTGCTCAGGAGGTCTGCTTGGGGCCACTCCTGGTGGTACTTGGTCCAACAATGTGGGGTGCAGGGGTTACACCTCCATAGCTATGTACTCAGGGGACCATGTGGTGCCAGCAATCAAACGGGGGCTTCTGCACGCTTCACCACATGCCAGGCACACCATCCGGCCCTCTGAGTATCTCCCGAGCCCTCCCTCTGCAGTTGAAGAATGGGTGCACAGAGAAGTAGCTGGTATAAATAGCCAAACTCTCCTTGTTTCCTTGTTACCGTGAAGGCTCCCTCATAACAAGACCAGCTACCCCAGGGCCTTGGACACTGTCACTGTTTCAGTCTGAAATCAGACCATCGCCAAGTCTGGCCAAGACAAAAATCCTGAACTTTGGAAGTCTTGTATAATTCATCCCCAATGATAACAATGGCTAATATGCAACAGAGAGAGCTCGTCTAGGGCCTCACAGGCAAGGCGCAGCACACGGGCTCTCACTGCATCAGCATCTCCTGAAAGGGGAGAAGTGACAGGCACAATGCCCTCTTGGGAACAGTCCTGTAAGCCACAGGGCCTAAAAAAGAAAAAAGAGCCCGTTATAGAGGCAGGCTGGGGGACAGGGGGGAAACTGGGGACGTTGGTGGAGGGACGTGGACACTGGTGAAGGATTGGTGTTGGAACATTGTATGCCTGGGACTCAATTCTGAATAACTTTGTGACTGCATAATTCACAGTGATTCAATAAATTTTTAAAAAAATTTTTCTGTCAAGGGAGCTGGGGGTGTATGGGAGGGACCCTGGGGACACTCGTGGAGAGCAGTTGGCACTGGTGGCCAGGCTGGTGCTGGAACACAGTTGACTTAAAGTTCAACTATGAGTGACTTTGTAAATCAAGATGCCTTAATTAAAAAAAATATAGCATTACATTTTTTTATTTTACTTTTTAAATGAATATAATTGCTTTTCTTCCAGCTTACAGATGCATCCATTTTGAGGCGAGGGGATTAAATAACTGGGCCAGGGCATGAGGAGGTGGAAATATGAGGATTTCCAATTTCTGAACCTAAATTCTCACCCCTTCATTTTATAACCTCCAGGGTTTATTTGAAAACCGTGACATCTGCATGAATCATCTAGCTGTAGACTGTACATGTGTGCTGTGTCAGGTAGACAGTGTAATAGGGTCTCTGCCCTATTTCCAACACTGACTAGTCCATCCGCTCTACCAGGACAGCTCACTTTATTGGGGCTATTTGGAAGGGGGGAAAGGAGGTGCGGGGCCTCGGAGCAGAAAGTCTGTGGGTGAACTGCCGTAAGAAAGGCCATTTCCCAGCACCCATGAGCTAAGTTATTTCTACAGGGGCCATTTCTAGGGCTGGAGCGATAGCACAGTGGGCAGGGTGTTTGCTTTGCACACAGCCAATCCGGGTTCAATTCCTCCGCCCCTCCCAGAGAGCCTGGCAAGCTACTGAGAGTATCCTGCCCGCAGAGCAGAGCCTGGCAAGCTCCCCATGGTGTATTTGATATGACAAAAACAGTAACAAGAATTCTCACAATGGAGACGTTACTGGTGCCTGCTCGAGCAAATCGATGAACAATGGGATGACAGTGCTACATAGTGCTACAGGGGCCCCTTCCTGGGGGTACAAGGGTGTGGGTGTGGGGATCAAACTCAGGGACTCACATGCATTCTACACCCCCCCCCCCCCCCCAGCCATATCTCTGGCTCCATTCAGATGTTCAAAGAATCACTGTGGTTAGGGCTCACCGGAGTCTTTTAGGGAGAGGAGGGGACTAGTGACAGAGCAAAGGGTTTGTCCCGGCCAGGGTGCCAGCGGTGTCACAAGCTGAGCTCCCTCCTGGAAAGGTGCCAGGGCAGGTGACGGTTCATCCTTACGTGAGGACCAGGGAGAGGCCATGCCTCCCCTCAGTCTCTGACTCCCCACTTGGTCCCCTCCGGGAGGGAGAGGAGATTCTGGGGATGGAGAAAGCTGCAGCCCTGTGTTCTACGCACCCTGAGATCAGAGCAGGAGCCGCAGGGGCAAGACCCAGCCGGTGAGAGATTTCAGCTTGGCCGTCAGAAGGACTTCAAACGAGAAAGCGTTGGAGCCTGGGAGGCAGTGGAGAGCCTCAGCAGGGTAGCAGTTTGGGAAGCTCATGGCGGAATCCCGCGACCGGAGAGGGGCCCCTGCAGCCCATCACACATCACTGATGTTCAGACTACAGGCTGCCCTGCGCCCCCAGACATGCCACCCCATCTATGTCCCGTCCATGAGTCAGGGAGAAGGCCCACCTGAGCCTACCCCGCTGGCCTCTCCTCTCCTCCGCGGCCCAGACCTGTCTGGTCCTTCCCACCCACCTGCAGCAGCAGCACGAAGTAGTCGACGGGGCGGCTGCGCTGGTAGAGGTAGTGCTCGGGCGCCTTCTTGTTCTTCTCATCAAACTTCAGCTCCTGGATCACGTTGGGATGCTTCAGGAGTCGGAGTAAGATCTTCTCCGAAAGGTATAGAGACTTAAAGGGCTCCACCTCTAGGGGAGAGTGGCAGGCAGAAGGGGTGGGTACAAGTGTCTCTGTTCATGTTCCCAGATGCTAAGGTGGTGGGGCTCTTGGGATCCCCCCAGGAAGGGTGCGGGTTTTATTTATTTATTTATTTTTGCTTTATTTGCGGGGTCACACTCAGTGATGCTCAGGGATTACTCCTGGCTCTGCCCTCAGGAATTATTCCTGGTGGTGTTTGGGGGCCATATGGGATGCCAGGGATTGAAGCCAGGTAGGCCACATGCAAGGCAAACGCCCTCCCCACTGGACTATCGCTCCGGTCCCAGGGTGCAGGTTTTAAATCCAGCTGTGCCACCTTTCTTGCCTACCCCATCCCCTCTGGAAGGAGAGTGTTGTTCCTGTACTAGCAGGAGAAACTGGTCACCACTTTGGAAAGGTAAGTTTCTTTATTAACCTTATTTCTTTTTTTGGGGGGGTGGGGTGGGAGGACGGCCCTCCTGGCTCAGGAGATTGTCTGCAGTGCCAGGGATCCAAATGTCCAAACCCCTCTACTACCTCTGGCCCTAAGTTTCTTTGAGGTTGAACATGGACTTGAAAAAGAAGAGAGGAGCTAGAGCGATAGTCCAGTGGGGAGAACATTTGCCTTGCATGTGGCTAACCCAGGTTCAATCCTTGGCATCCCATATGGTCCCCCAAGCACCACTAGGAATAATTTCTGAGTGAGAAACCAGAAGTAACCCCTAAGTATCGCTGGGAATGACCCCCAAAAGCAAATACATGAATAAATGAACTCAGGACAGGTACCTTTCTGACATGTAAAGCATTTGCGCCTGATCTCCCTAACCCCCTCCCCCAAACTAAAAAAAAAAAAAAAGGAAAGAAATAAAAAGAAGATCATTTGGCCCTTTGTGACCACACGCATGAACCTGGCAGGAGAGAGGCTGCCCAAGTGAGAGCGGCTGCAGAGGGGCAAACACTACAGGACGCCTCTGAATGATAAGCTTGACATCATGCAACTATAGAAGCAGAGAGGGGCTGGAGCGACAGCACAATGGGTAGGGCATTTGCCTTGAGTGCAGCCAATGCGGGTTCGATTCCCAACCTCCCATATGGTCCCCTGAGCACTGCCAGGAGTAATTCCTGAGTGCAGAGCCAGGAATAAACCCTGTGCATTGCCGGGTGTGGCTCAAAGACCAAAAAAAAAAAAAAAAAGCAGAGAGCAGCATGGTGAGAGTTGGGGGCAGAGAGGGGCTGGGAAGTCTAGCGGTCAAGGGTAGAGAGGCTCAGTTGGGCAAGCTGAGTAACCCCACGAGCTCTAACGCACTGCACGGGGCCCACAGCCAGCAGCCCAGTCATACATACTTGATTTGCCCAGAGGTCAATTTCATGTTGTTGTCTTATCACACTACTAATAATAAAGAAATAAGGTGGGAGAAAATGTTTGGAAGTGATGGAAAGATTGATAGAATAGATGATGATGATGGTTTTCAAACGTTGGGGAAAGGGGTAGAAGAGATGGCATAGGGGTAAAGATGTTTGTCATGCATCTTAATCTATTCCTTTTTTTTCTTTTTGGGTCACACCTGGCAATGCACAGGGGTTACTCCTGGCTCTGCACTCAGGAATTACTCCTGGCAGTGCTCAGGGGACCATATGAGATGCTGGGAATCAAACCTGGGTCAGCCGTGTGCAAGGCAAACACCCCACCTGCTGTTCCATCACTCCAGCCCCTCTTAATCCATTCTTGGCACCATGTATGGTTTCCTGAGCATGGAGCCAGGAGTAACCCCTGAGCATTGCATATGCCCTCCCCCTCTCCCCCCAAACAGATACAAACAAACCAAAAAGTTCAGTATGGAAAAGTAAGTCTAATGAACAATAAAGACTTTAATGAAAAAAAAAAGAGAGAATTTAATCTACCTTATTGGTATTAATTTTATGCTGTTGAATGAAAGGAAATGAGCAACATGGATGGAACTAGAGGATATCATGCTGAGTGAAGTCAATCAGGTGGAGAGGGAAAGATAGAGAATGATCACTCTTTTGTGGGACTTGAATCCCAGCAAGGTAGCAGCAAAGGGCCAAAGGGCAACACAACAGGAGAACTGATCCATAAAACTGAGCTGGTGGAGGTGGGGGATGCGAGGGAGGAGTGCTGGAGTCCTTGGGGAGGGAGGTGGGTACACTGGTGAAGGGTGTGGTCTTGGAATTATGTGTATGAGAAACAATCATTAAAAGTATTGTAAAGCACAGAACCTCAATAAAATATTTCGAAGAAAAGAATGAAACAAAATCAATTTAAGAGAGACAATGAATTCTATGCGTGGAAAATGCTCCTCAAGAGTGTGAAGCACTATGACATCATGCCTCAGGGGGAACAGATGCTATCTATTAATAGATGCGGACATTGCTCTGAGAGTCGGCTCTGCATCCTAACCACATCCTAACATCCTCACTTGGCATCCACATTCTCTTTAACTCCTGGCTGATTTCTCAGCCTCTCTGATTTTCCAGCTTCCGAAAAATCAGTCAGTAGTTAAAGAGAAACCCGGAGGTAGCATTCCATAAGTTAACTTGGAAAGAAGCTCCAATCTAAATGCTTCTATTCTTACTACCTGGAACAGGACTAGCACTTGTTCTCAACCCAGTAATCCATGTTGGATTAGTTATTGTGCTCAGTGATGGGGTGTGACCATTCTAGGTCTGGGTGAGGCTAAAAGATTCAAAGACTACTTTCTTCAAAAGAAGAAAGAAGTGATTAATTTGCAGGCTCTACTTTTATTTTTTTTCTTTTGAAAGATTCCAAGATTCACAGTCCACTTCTGTCTTGGAAGAGCTCCCAGTCCTCAGGCTTCCAGGGACCCTGGGAGGACAGTGAATCCCAGGACCTTGTTGCTGGGGAGAACCATCTCTTCCCCGTGCTGCTGGACAACCTCCTTTCTCCTCCAACAACCCATGATGAACCCAACTCCAGCGGGACACAAGTCTACCTGGGCTCCACCTGGAGGTGGGAGAGTGGTGGCAATGGTTTCTGGAGCTTTCTCCAGCGGTAGCTGCAGAGCCAAACAGAGCTCACTCTGTGCCTTCCCTCCAGAGAGGATCGGGGAGGGGGAAACTGATTTTGTGGCGTCCTGTTCCCCTGCTGGAGGCAAGGTCAGCTTCTGGAGCGGTACCAGCTGCAGGTGGTGAATTGTTCCAGATCCCAGCACCCCCTTCCCCATCACACACACACACACACACACACACACACACACACACACACACACGATGCTGGTCCTACCTGTGGCCATGAAGCGGTGCGTGGCCAGCAGCAGCTGCGGAGAGATCTTTACCCGCATCTCCGAGTCGGAAAGTTTAAACAAGGAGAAATCATGTCGCTTCCTCTCCCGGTGAGGCACCCTCTGCTTCTTGCGATTGTCGGCTGTGGAGTCACAGGGGAGAGACAGTGGCTGCTGCTGCTCAGGCAGGCTTCCCCAGACGCACACAGACACGTCCTCTGGGACCACAGGGATTTCTGCCAAGTGTCAGGTCCAGGGCCCAGCACAGCCCTCTCCCAGGTGAGGATGGATGTCCAGAAGGAGGAGACGGTGGGAGCAGGCAGACCAGGACCCTTGAATAACCATCTCACGCACCGACACTTTGGTAGGGTGGCGCGGGACCATGGGCTGGGCTCTTGATCTGCCTCCCCTTGTCTTCCTCCCTACCACTTGTGGTGCTGTGAACATCAGCACCCAGGGAGCTTCACGCTAATTAGCCCCAGCTCTTCTGCTCCCCTCTGCAGCAGGCAGGAGACCCCAACCAGAAGGTATCTGGGAAACGCTTACAAGAAGGCAAACATAAGGGATGGTGTGTTTGCAGGGGTGGAGTTCGAGCCACTGCTTTTTTCCTGTCCTCAGAGCTAGACTCACCTGCTGGCTTCCTGCTGATGTCAACCATGCTCTGAGCAATGCCCGAGGCCAGCCACTTGGGGCTGGGGTGAGAGCAAGTCTCTTGTCACTCACAATTCTCAGGTTCTCCCCATCGCTATTCCACAGTGAGTGAACTGGGGGAAATAAAGGGGGACACAGGCACCGTCCTGGCAGCGACAGTGGTGTGGGGGGTCCTATGGGGATCTCAGCAGAAGCTGCGACTTGAGAAACTGAGGCCGTATAAAAGGTATACTACCTTTTCCAAATTGATCCCTCCCCCCACCCACTTAATTTGTTAAACATGTCTTCAAGTTTGTATCGAGAGGCACAATTTCTTCGTCTCATTTTCTTTTACTCTTTCTTAGTTTTGAGTTACAAAATTTCTTCTAGCCTATCTATCCTGTGCCAAGGGAAGCAACGAAAAACTTATGGGTTTTCTCTAAGCTCAGTCTGGACTCAAGTGAGGCTGAGGGACCTTTCAGCACCGGCCAAGCAGATGTCATGAAACAAAGGGCTGATGCTCAAGGCCCAGGACCTGGCTCTCTGGTGCTCTCCCTCTTCTATTTCTGCCACACTCTTTGGGTTCCTTGTAGAAGGGAGAACTGAGCTTCCCATGTACCAGTCTTGCCTCAGACTCTAGCCTTTGCTATCACCTGGCTCCAACTCTGACACTCCCTCCTGGGACTGCAACAATGAGACACAGACCCTGATGTTTGCTGGGCCAGGGCCAAGAGAAACCCAGTATTCCCCTTCTCAGGGTGCTTAAGAAATCATGGCAGGGGACCAGAGAGATAGTACAGTGGGTAGGGGACTTGCTTTCCATGTGGGATCCTATGTATTGTATTCGGCTCAGTCCCTGATTACCAGGAGTGATTCCTGAGTGCAGAGCCAGAGTATGCCTGAGTACAGTCAGGTGTGGCACAAAAGCGAAGAAAGAAAGAAAGAAAGAAAGAAAGAAAGAAAGAAAGAAAGAAAGGAAGAAAGGAAGGAAGGAAGAAAGGGAAAGAGAGAGAGGGAGAAAGAGAAAGATAAAGGAAGAAAGAGAAAGGAAGGAAAGAGAAAGGAAGGAGAGAGGGATGAAGGAAGAACAGAAAGAAAGAGAAAGAAAGAAAGGGAAAGAGAGAGGGAGAAAGAAAGATAAAAGGGAGAAAGAGAAAGGAAGGAAAGAGAAAGGAAGGAGAGAGGGATGAAGGAAGAACAGAAAGAGAGAGAGGGAAAGAAAGAAAGAAAGAAAGAAAGAAAGAAAGAAAGAAAAAAAGAAAGAAAGAAAGAAAAGAGGAAGGGAGGAAGGATGGAAGGAGGGAGGAAGGATGGAAGGAAGGATGGAAGAAAGGATGGAAGGAAGGATGATGAAAGGAAGGAAAAAGAAATGGGATCATGGCAGTAGGTTATTTATGAGGGCAGGAGAGACTCTCCTTTAGAACAAGGATTGCTCAGGAGGAGAACAGCAAAGCCATGGGCAAGCTGCTTTCTTCTGCTCTCTCTCTCTCTCTCTCTCTCTCTCTCTCTGCCTCAACAGCATCTTTCTCTCCTGCATCTGATGGATTTGACGCTCATCACCAGAGAAGTGGGCCTCACATCTCTGCTTCGTGTTGCTGACTGCAATGGTGTTTGGAGCATGAAGGATGTGAGAAGGTGATAACTCACGAAGGTGGCCAGCACTTCTATCGGCCCCTAACACTTCCATGGGAACGCCTTCCTTAAGACCTCTTTGAGACTTGTGGCCATTCTAAATTGAGTGTGGGGCAAAGGAGAAGGGACAGGGAGGAAGCAGCAGAGGTGGGCTTGGTTCCTATCAGGGGAGAAGGAGGTTGGCCAGGGGCATCACAGCCAAAGTGGGCTTCTGGTGGCGGTGCCGTGACTCTCCTGTGTGACCTCAAGCCTTGGCCCAGCTCAGTGGTTTGATCTATTACTCGGAAGGACTGACACCCGCATGATTCATTGTCTGTGTCCGAACGTTTGATTGATAACTGAGCATGAACCAGGCCATTCCCACAGAATGAAATTACCGGGAGGAAAGGCATCCTGACCTAGGGGACCCCGTGGATGGAGTTAGCGCTCCCCCGCTCAGAGAGGATCGCACCTTTGCAGGGTTGTAATGGACCCAGAGGAATCCATACAGCGTCTGGTGGGATTGGGTAGGAGGGTGAGGAAACCAGAAAGAAGGGAGCAGGGACAGGAACTGGAGCGGGAGGGAGGAACGCGAGAAACCAGGGCAGCAGGGCTAGGAAAGAATCACGGAGGAGCAGAGTCTAAGGGGACGTTAAGGATATTAGCTTAGCTGGCTGGCGGGTGATCTCATGCCCACTTCCAGCGCAGGCGGAGTGGATTGAAGCGTTCTGCCCGTGCCAGCACCTGGGACCATGACAGGGCTGGCCCACCACGCTGGCACACTCGAGAGCTGACTCAGCCAGCCCAGAGACCTCAGAGGAACCCAGAGTGACCTCGGGAGATGGCCAAGGCCGAGCACTCACTGTACAGGTCTGTTTCGTCCAGGATCTCCGACTTGATGATCTCTTCGATGACGTCCTCCAGGGTGACGATGCCCATCACCTCGTAGAAAGGGTCCCCTTCTCCCTCGTTATTCACCCGCTGGACAATGGCCAGGTGAGATTTCCCTAGAAACAAATGAGGGCCCTGTGAAGCTTCTGGGACATTTCCAGGAACTTTTCCACTGGAAGAAAAATGACACAAAGTCGCTCTTTCATCATCTTGGAAAGAGACCCATTTTAGGAACTCCTTAGAAAGTGAGTTCGTGCAGAAGTTCTTTGAAAGGCAGGTTCTTTTTAACATTTTTTTTGGTTGCACCTGGCTTAGGGCTTACTAAGGGCTTACTCCTGGAGAGCTGGGATCCTCTGTGCTCAGGGATCACTCCTGGAGGGCTGGGGAGACCATATGGGTGGTGCCAGGGCTCGAACCCAGGTCAGCTGCATGCAAGGCAAACACCTTACCTGCTGTACTAGCTCTCTAGCCCCCAGATAGGGGACATATCTCTGTTTCCTTTCTGAAATGACATAGGGCCTATTGGGCCAAAGTCAGTTCAATGTTTTTCCTTCAGACTTTCACGTATTAGTAAGTATATCTAAACCAAATGAGGATGAGGCTAGAGAGAGTTCAGAGAGTTGGCATGTAGCCAACCTAGGTTGGATCTCCAGCACTCCAGATAGTCTCCCCAGCCTCACCAGGAGTGATCCCTGAGCACAGAGCCAGGAGTAATCCCTAAACACTGCTGAGCCTCCTACCCCTCTAAAAAAAAAAAAAGAAAAAACCCAAACCAAAATACATAATACAAAAAGAGAATGAATTGCCTAAGTCAGCGGTTCCCAGATTTATTTGACCTAATATTCCCTTTTGCCTTGCATGCGGCCGACACGGCCAACCGGAGTTCGATTCCTCAACCCCTCTTGGGGAGTCTGGCAAGCTACCGAGAGTATCTTGCCCGCACAGCAAAGCCTGACAAGCTACCCGTGATGTATTTGATATGCCAAACACAGTAACAAGTCTCACAATGTTACTGGGCCCACTCGAGCAAATCGATGAACAACAGAAGGACTGTGACAGTGACAGTGACAGTTCCCTTTTCAGGAAAAAAAAAACCTACTTAGCATGCCCCAACTTCACCTGAGGCCACTATCCCCACTGTGCCCTTCATCTGGGGGGTATGGGGGACAGCACTGCCCACTTTGGGAAACACTGATCTAACAACAGAATGTGAGTTTGGAATCAGAAATGGTAAGGCTAGCTGCCGTTTCCCTCCAACTTAACCCATCCTCTGCCACCAATCTTCCAGTTATTATGCACACAATAGAATCTCTCCTGAGTCTTAGGCTCCTCGTGGAGGGTTCGGGAATAATACCAGCCGAGTTGACTTTGAAGCGAGGTCTCCGCAGAGCCCCATCTTCTAGGAACCCTACCAAAGTGCTGATGTGCTTAGCAAAGAAACATCCTGTTTCACTAATTCCAGTGGGTCAGCGCCATCCTCTGGGGCTCTCCCCAGTCATCCCAGCTGGGAGGCTGGGACTGTCTATCTTGCTGCACCTCGACCCAATTCCTGACTCACAAAATCTATGAGCATCATCAAAGGGTGGCCCTTTTATGGCTCTACCTTTTAGTGGGGGCTTGTTAGCAGCGTTGGTAATGAGGAAACACCTTATTCGAGCTACAAGCTCAGATAATCTGTAGCTCGAATTCCCCAGTGCAATGTTCTATGTGTTTGTTTTTCGTTTTTTTTTTTCGGCCATGCCAGGCAATGCTCAGGGGTTACTCCTGCTCTGCACTCAGGAAACACTTCTGACCCATATAGGATGCTGGGGATAGAACCTGGGTCAGCCTTGTGCCAGGCAAGTGTACCATTCTTCCAGTCCCCAATGCAGTGGTTTTCTATTCTATCCCCTGCCCAGATTACAATAATATCTTAATGTTGCAAATCATCATGGGATGAGTTTTGGGTAATACCTGGCAAGCCAGTGACCTTCTCCATCTTCCACTGTTTCTTTTTATTTTCCTTTTCTTTTCTTTTAAGAGAGCCCGGCAAGCTACCGAGAGTATTCGATATGCCAGACACAGTAACAACAAAGTCTCCAATGGAGACGTTACTGGGCCCGCTCGAGCAAATCGACGATCAACGGGAGGGCCTTTACTTTACTTACTTTTTAAGAAAAAATTTTAAATTGCGTCACCATGAGATACACAGTTACAGAACTGTTCATGATCAGGTTTCAGTCATACAATGATCCAACACCCTTCCCTCCACCAGTATCCATTTCCCACCTCCAATGACCCCAGTTTCCCTCCCACTTCCTCTCCCCATCCCTGCCTGCCTCTATGGCTCTATGACAGGTACTTTCCTTCTCTCCCTCCCTCCGCCCACTCTCTTCCTCTCTCTCCCCTGGTCTCTCTCTCTCTTCTCTCTCTCTCTCTCTCTCTCTCTCTCTCTCTCTCTCTCTCTCTCTCCTTCTGGGCACTGAGGTCGGCAAGTGCAGTGTTTTTTAATCCTTGCTAACTTCTCCATGTAGACCACTGACCTAGTTACTATGTAGAAATGGTTTGTAAACACAGTTACAAAGGTAGTTTGTCAAGGGCAACTCATTGTTTAGCTACACATTTAGCCCAGAGTTAGTTATTTTTTTCATTGCCTAGCAACTGAATAAAAATCATTATGCTATTGAGCTCTAACTATACCTGGGTTTATGTGTATTGATTCATTCCATTCTCATTAGAAGCCTCCAGGAAAGCACCATTGTCATCTCCATTTGACAGATGCGAGAACTTAGTTTAGTATAGCACAGGTTGGTTGGACAACATGCAATGGTTGAGGCACTTGTTTTGCACGTGGCCTACTGAGCTCAATCCCAGGCACCACACTTGGGCTTCCCAGCACTGCTAGGAGTGAGCCCTGGACACTGCCAAGTATGCCCCCCACTCCCCCACCGCAAAAAGTCACAGAGCCTGCAAGAGGCAGACTGGATGGCAGACCCAGGTATCTGAGACTGAGTCTTACCTCTAATGCTTCATTTTGGTTTGCTTTCCACTCTTGAGGTCCTGTTTTTAAGATGAAAGTCTAGGTGAGTCATTTCCTTGGCTAAGATATTTATGGAGAAAAATCTGGCTGGAGGGCCTGGAGCCATAGTACAGTGGGTAAGGATTCCACCTTGCATGAGGCCAGCTGACCTAGTTCAATTCCTTGCAAACCATATGGTTCCCTGAGCTCGCCAGGAGTGATTCCTGAGTGCAGTTAGGAGTAAGTTCTGAGCAACACACTTTGGGTGTAGGCTCCCTACTCCACACACACACACACACACACACACACACACACAAAAGCAAAAAAAGAGCTGTGTGTGGCCCCAAAACAAAAAGAAAGAAAACAATGATTCATGCTTTATCATTGTTACCCTTTAAACTTTTGCTTGGTCATTGCTAGAAACACCTGGTAGGGGTAGTCAAGTTGTTGGAGGCGTCATTTTTATTAACATAAAATAACAATTTCTGTATTAAGTAATCAGATTATAAGATAGTTGCCCACTGAGATTTTTAACTGGAAAGATGGCATTTGTATCACTCAAGAATGGTGTCTACTTTCATCTCCACCTTTAACCTAGTCTTTACCATGCTCACACCCCGACCTAATCATCCCCATGTGCTTCTCAAACACCCGCCACGACTCCCTAGTGTGCACAAAAACCAAATCCAGAAGCATTAGCAAAGCATGGCTCTTGCTTTCTGCATCACCTCGATCCCTAATCCTTTGAGACAGCAGGTGCATTGGTTACTTGTGCTTCCTGGAACTCCTGCATGTCTACCTTCTAAACCTTTGTTCACACTGTTTCCTTCTCTCACTCTGTCTCTGCAGGTCCGTCAGATTTCCTCACAGGGTCCAGATCTGCGCCATTCTCAAATGGAATCAACCTCTCCTTGCTTGTATTTCTAAGTCCTTGATAAATTTATTAGAGCTTCATCACACTTTGCTGTTGCTGTAGGGCGCGCGCGCGCGCGCGTGTGTGTGTGTGTGTGTGTGTGTTTGTGTGCTTGTGCACGTGTGCACGTGTGCACGCTTGCTTCCTTGCTTTTCTAGGCCATTCCTCATCCTCAGATCATAAGCCCTTGAGGACATGCAACCAGACTTCAGGACATATACCCAGAGTTTTCTCCATAAAAACACCTTGGAACAGAACTAAGACTGAGTAAATTTAATATTATCTATCTATCTATCTATCTATCTATCTATCTATCAGTAATCCACTGGTGATATATGTAGATGATATTAAACCAAGATGCTAAAATATTTATATTTTTATAAAGTACAATGTTTTTAGGGGACTGGAGAGAGAGCAGGGTAAGGAGTTTGTCTTGCATGTGGCCGACCTGGGTTCGATCCCTGGTATCTCATATGCTTCTCTGAGTACCACCACATGTAATTCCTGAGGGCAGAGCCAGGAGTAATCCCTGAGCATCACTGGGTGTGCCCCAAAACCAAAAATACAAACAAACAAACAAACAAACAAAAATACAATGTATTTAAATTCTGCGTCAGTGGTTCTAAGATTATCATTCACTGAAATCACTGCCCCCTACCCATCTGGACTGAAATGTTTTCAGCTTAAATTAGAGTATACTCATTTTTAGTCTGTGCTCAATTTAAGGTCCTCCCTTCCCAACACACTGTTCTTAAACTTATGGCACCCGTTCTCACTTTTCAGCTAACATGAGTTAGTAGATGCCAAAACAAATGACTGGCATAATAGAAAAATGTGAAAAACGGATTTCCTAAAATTATTTTCTATAATGGGATAATTCTTCTAATGCAGAGACCTGAATATACAAAATATAGTCACATTTCTAGTCACTGAGAGATTAACCATATGACAGGAAAAGACAAATCAACACTTGATGACACTTCACAAAAATCCCCTATACTTCCACTTGAAAATTCATCACAAAGATACATGTTATAAGGTCAGTTGGAGGACACTACATGTTCCCCAGGAAACAGAGGTTTTAAGTTTTAATTATGTACTATTAAAGACAATGAATTGGGGGACCAGATAAAGACAATGAATTGGGGGACCAGAGAAATATTGCAGGGGTTAGGCACATGTCTTGAATGTAGCTAACACTGGTT